ACCGGTCCTGGGAACCGAAATTTCGGTAGCATGTTCAGTAGTTGATGTTTCTGTTTCTTCGACCGACACGGCGTGTATTCGAGGCACAAGTGCCTGAAGAGATCGCCGCTCCATCGGATCAGGCCTCAGGCGTCCATTAGCCGTAATATTCTCAAACGACTACTTGAATCGACCGTGCATCCGAATGATCGACCGCTAGAAACACTGGGAGAGCTTGAATGTCCTTGTCTTTCCGCAGCGTTTCTCGACGGTTCCTCCGTGAGTCTCCTGAACGATGGAATCCGTGTTCTACAGATCAATGATTATTGATCTGCAGAACCCTCGTTCGCGCCAGAGGGTTATCGCGCGATATTCAAGCGATAATATCACTCGATTCCGGAGGATTTCTTCTTCTCGAGCGCTCGGGTGTGTGCTTCGGATCCCTCTCGAGCTGGTCGGGACACGATCGCGGTTGCCGGCACGTCGTCTGCCCGGATGCCTAATTAGAAGAGACTGTAATATCGACAATGGGAATACACTAACCCCGGACCGGGGGTGGAACCGGCACCGATGAATGAAAAATCTGGATCGACGGAACGCATGGACTTCTGAGCTCAAAACTGACATTGTAGGTGAAAACTCATCTCCTTCCAACTCTTATGAGCCTGAAATTCCAAGAGGGGACGGATAATGGGCTGCCAGCATTCAGATGCAAAACACCGCTACTTTCAAGCGAGCCGTGACATAACCCCTTCTGTGTGGCGTCGCTCTGCTCGTCGCGGTCCTAGCGGTTGATGGTACCGCGGCCGCTGCGGTAGTCGGCGGCGGCGGTGGTGGGGCTTAATTCACGGTTTCCGGTACTGCCAAGAGACGGACATACGGACAGACTACTACTACTACGACGACCACGGGCTGACTGCTTGGCTCTCTCCATCTGTGCTGGCTGAATGGCTAGACTTGCCTGCCTGCCTCCCTCCCTCCCAGTCGGTCGGTCGGTCGGTCGCTCGGCCTGCTTGCCTGCCTGCCTACACCTCAACAGCTTCGTCGACATCCGGTGCCTCTTCAACGGCAGCTCACGGCATGCGACACTTCTGCCGACCGAGAGAAAAACCGGGAGAAATTTGATGCGATGAAGACTCACTGCCACCACCGCCTCCTCTTTCTCCAGCGCCGGCCGAGCAGCAACCGAATTGCGGGCGATCGGGCTCATTGTTGAAGCGCAGAAGTTGTGCTCCTGCCCCATTCATTATTATTATTATTAATTAATCGACATCGATATCAGCAGTTTGTCGTGGATTCTCCCGAGGTATCCGCATCGTGCGACTCGAGTCAGATACTTTGACCGATGCGTGTTTCGTATTTTTCTGTATTATTCAGGATTTTTAGCGGGGGATTTCTGAGAACCTCACTTCCGAGGTTCATCCGTGCGAAACTCACGGGACGTCGACGCAAGCGTATTACGAAGTTCCGAATAAATGTCTATCGAGAACTTCATTCGAAAACATCATTCGATCACTTTGTTTCGCGTTCCGCGTGATTCACACGAGAGCGAAATCCACAGTGAGTTTTTCCGCCACTCACTGACTCGACGACGAGAGTTCATACGCCTGCCGCGCTCGACATGGTTTCGCGTCGAATTATCTCCTGCATTCGTGCTATTCGTCGTGTTCAGCAGAGATCGCATCTGGAGCTTCGAGCTCGTCATTAGGCTTTCCTCAGCGCTCGATTGAGCCGGCGTGATTGGTCAGGCAATAGGTGACGCTAACTAAGTATCAAAAACTCGCACTCGAAAGATGTGCGGGGTCCATCGCGGGTAAACACCCGAATCCGTGAGCAGCCGATCAAGGACACCGCTCCCCCACTCCATCTGAGGTTGATGTCGGGTCAATAATCGACGGACGTCGGATCTGCTCAACACGAAGGAGCAGGTTGACGACGGCGAGGCTCAGATTCGAAAACCCTCGGAAATCTCATCCACGTCAATCTGGTCGAGACAGGGAAGGCGCAGCGGTAATAAGTCATGGGTGTGAGCATGTTGTTTTCCTAGCTCACACAACTTTTCCAAGGCACCGACCGCAGTCGGCACCGACGTCATCGCGCCCGTCACAACGTCACAATCAGCTCCAATGCCGTCGCCGATCACGGACCGTTGCGGGTCACGGAAAGATTCAGGCACAGTGCCATTTAGAGATCGGTTTCCAAGAGAGAACTCTCTCATTCGTATCGTGCTTAGCGCGGAGGTTCGCGGACCCCGATCCATAGCAGCCTGCTGAAACAATGCTCCCGTGACTTGCGGCGTTCTTATCCGTCATTGAAAACGGACGAATCAAATTCAAGGGAAAGGGAGCGAATTGAGATAATTTCAATGTTGAATTCCGGATCCTCATCGACATGGTCACTGGCGGCAGTCGAAATTTCGTGCTCTTGGGCGATCTCTCATCGGAGCGGAGGCGGCCACCTTGCCCCAGAATCGGCCGTTATCTGGATGGCATGGGGTAATTGGAAAATACACCGCACTGAGTCATTGGGACACGCTTGACCTCCAATGTCCCTTGTCAAGTCAGCTCACAATGTGTTCGGCTCGTGCTCTCCTGACCGGCTGCCGTCGGCTCACCTGTTGCCAAGCCCGCCCGCCCGCTCACTCACTCTGTCCCTCCATCCCTTCCTCGCCCCATCGCTAGTCCGGTCTGGTGAGCAGTTGTCGAAAAGCCTGAATGAAAAGGCGACTGCACATGGCATACCTAGCATCTCGTCGGAGCTTATCAGCTGGTAGCGGCGGTGGAAATCGCGACCATCTGTAGCGTCATTCCGCATAGGGCTCACCCAAAAGAACGAGCGAGCGAGAGAGAGACTGACTGACTGGCGACACGGTGAATGTATGAGAGAGTGACGGATAAAATGAGCCTCGTTGAAATCGTCTCTTAAAAGGGGTCCCCAACATTGCAGTCCGGATTTCTATGCGTTTCCGGCGTATTGTCTGAACAACCGCCGCTGGGCTGTCCACCGATCCCGCTGACGTTACCGATTTTGCCAGCAACAACAACAGCCACCGTGTGTTGGTGGATTGGTTAGTTTTTCATTCCCTGGGTGACTTGACCACGGTGTGGCGCGACGGACTCCTCTCTGGACTGGCGCTTGATGTTGTCACGAAGGTCTCCGTCCCACATAACGTAGCCGCCGACCATTCTGCCGAATCAGAGAGAAATGAGATGAAGCACCCCGCTAGTGTATGAATGAGTGATAGAATGAATAGATGGAATGACAACGAACGAATCACGTCCATGGAACCCGACAGAACGGGGTCTGGCTCTAGTCGAATTTTAGCAACGGAGGGCTCCGATTTTAAACTGATTACTAAATCCGTTTGTTTCGGTGCTAAGTAAGTCGTAGGTACTCAAGCGACTCCGACGTGACGTCGTGCCGCTTCGCCGATGGACATTTCCGAAGAGACGCTGTCGATTTTATTTTCTTTTTTACGTCAATCATCATCATCATTATGGCCTCATACGTCAATCAATGAAATGATCGAGATCATGATGATGATTATCACCGACGAGATTACTCCGTAACATTATCAGCGACTCTTCGGGAAAATAAAAAACGCCCTCATCTGTACGCGGAACTCTTCGGTTTCTATCGGAATACCCAACCCTTCTTCGCCATGAAATCGCCCGACCAGAAAAGTGTTTCTCGTCCGCAGCAGTCCAAGAGCATGCGAGTTCGCGATAGACATTCGGATTCGTCACCCGAACTTACGCACTAATCCGATGAGCGAGCTAGGACTCGAGACGTTCTCTTCGGATAGAGTTATCCAACGTATTGAGCTGCATATAATAATCTAATTATTGTTGTCGTACAATAATTGAATCGCTGTTCCGCTATCCGATCGACCTTGAAACGACGCTTCCCGGTTTTTCTGTCCGGGATGAGCCAATGTATCAAGACGCGCAACAAGTAAAAGGAGCAACGTTTTCGCCGACCGGGCAGCTTTTCTTTATAAAAAAAAGTCTTATCTCTGACTTCATTGCTTCGCGCCTCGTCGACCTCCCTCTTCATCGCCTTTCGCCGATGCGTCGGTCAGATGCATGGATTCTCCAGAGTGAGAACATCGCCAAGAGTGGCGACTCGGCAGTATGCGATCATATGAGAGTTCATAGTTCAATCACCATATTTTTCAAGGCGACCCCGCTAGCAGACGGAAAGAACTGCTGGAGAACTTGCGAGGGCGCGAGCGGATGGTCGAACGAACGAACGAGCCAGCTTTCTTTCCTTATGGCTTTTGCGACGATGTCCTTGCGTGATATTGAGAGAAAACTAAATAGATTTGTGTCTGTTCTGCTTAGTTTGGAAAACAAAAACCACCGAATACTGAGCTCGGCGACGCCTTGAGTCGTTTGCTCGTTACCGAAAATGCTGGAACCGATGAAGACCATCGACAGAATTAGAAACGACGGAAAAAACCAACGAATTCTGTTCCCTTGAAAAATGTCCATTGGACTTAGAATTCATTCGAGCGCCTGAAATATGTTCGTGCGCTTCTCCTGAATCTCATCAACAAGGATCACGTCGTGACTTAAAAAAAAGAACTGATAAAGCAGAAATTCCTGAAAAATCGGCCAGCTTTCTCTTCCAAGACGACCCCACGATTGATCTTCTGACTTTTTTTTTCTTCAAAAAAAAGTTCGTTCGAGAATCCCGTAGTGCTTCGCCTGTCCGTGCTTGCCCCTTGTGATGCTTCCCGCTGTTGTTGTTCTAACTCGAATGAATTGCTCGAGTGAACCGACGACGGTGACGATGTCGACAACCGCAGCTATTGCGGAGGCTTTGCCCCGAGAGAAAAACAAAACACGGTAGACTCGAATCTGAATTTCCTACAAATCTGCAAACCTCTGACGCGCGTCAAAACACCATTAGAGATAATAAACGAGACGGAACTCAAGCGTACACCTGTAGTGGGCAGAGGGCCTGATTCTCGATCGAAGACATCGTCTCAAGGTCGACGAAGTCTTCTCAGCGACGTCATGACGCGGCCGCTGCCGTTCTTGATGCCTCCAGTAGCTCTGACAGCAGCAGCCGCGGATCATCCATCGAATCTCGTGGTTGCAGCGGCCGCGCCAGAGACCGCACACGTTTCAGGTCTGTCCGAGCGAGCATTCATATTTTTTTCTCTTTCACGCAACGACTCCCACTTGAAACTTGACATCAACAGATCGCCGACGAATATCATCAGAGTCTTGTTGTCACCAAGCGACGACAGCGAGACAAATTCGATCTTAATCACGGACAAACCGCTCCGAAGTCAGCTCCGATGTCTTCAATAATTTTTTTTCTCTTGGTGGCCAGCCAGGCAATCTGTCAAAGTCGACTCTTGATTTTCATCAAGTGTGCGGCTCATATCCATCGAAGTATGCGGGCGATCGAGTGACAGGCCGACTGCGATCAACCACAGAATAAGAAGAAACTCCACGCGATATCTTCCCACTTACTTTGTCTTTTGCACCGAGTGTGTTCCCCGTCGTCGCTTCTCCCTTATTCTCTCGAAAGAAATGCGAACGGCCTCTGACAGCGATAAGCCAGCCGGCAGGTGATTCGAAGTCCACCTACAGAAATTATATAATGTCCACAATTTTCGGCGGATGACGGGTACGATCTGGCCAGGTCATAAATTTTCCGCTCTTTTCCGTGGTGGAACAAAATCGGAACTTGTCAATGGATAAGATACATCACTTTTGGCGTACGAGACTTGGAAAAATTAGGAATTTTCTCCCTGGAATCGCTGTGACGATTTATCGGATACATCTCACCCCGCTGCCGCATCAGAAAAAAAAGTCCCAGAACAGTTTTTTTCCGACGTAGTTTACACCGAAAGTTTTCTCCACTTCTGGGGAAGCCAATGGGTAATTCCATCGGACGATAAGGACTGCTTCGCTTTCGTTCGCGTCTAGTTGCAATGGCTGGCTCCATTTTGCCGAATTAGCGCTAGGAAAGCCCAGAAGAATCATGGCATAAGAAATTGTATCACGACGGAGCTTCAAGTTCTGAATTGAAAGAGTCCTCAAAAGCCCAGTGCTGTGAGCTTCCTTGCTCGGCAGTGAACTGACTCTACCTCATGGCTTACAGCGCACAGGTGCATTGCAGCGGCGAGCGATAAGGCTCTCGTTTTCTGAGACGACGGATGCTCGGCGATCCCGAGCGGGATTATGAATGCGGAACTCTAGTCCCTCGATACGAATCGGAGTTATCCCGGTAGCTCATTCGCTGGGTCGAACCGTAATGTCCGGCACTCGCCTCGACTCCCTCCAATGTCCGAAAAAGTCTGGCACGAGAGCGATGTAGAAGCGCTCCGACATCGGAAACAAGGCGGCAATCTGCGGACCGGGCTGGAAAAGGGGAAACATGTGGAGCTTCCATATAGCTCTCGTTCTCGTATCGTTGGGAGGAATGGAAACGCAGGCTGATATGAATGAGCTTCCATAGTCCGTACGAGAAAATACGCCATGAGGGCTTTTCACCAGCATCAGCCTGCATGATGAGCAGCGCGTAGATCTGATAAATTTCCGTCAGCATGTAAGCTAAATCGAGACACCGGCTGTTCCGTACAAGCGGTGAACGTAATTTAAACCGTCCCTGAGCCATTCACGTACCCGTTCGTCAATTAGTCCTCGTAGGGACTGGGTAGAGTTTGTGTGGATTTTATTCTCAAGATCCTCGATAGGCTCTTCAATGCGCTTCCTTACGAGGCCTCAGCGTTGGCCTTGAGAAAGAGCTCTGAATCGAAACTCCAGATGTTGAAATGAGCGAGCTCTTTTAGTGGGAATGCTTTGCAACCGGTATCGTTGGTGAAGGAGGCATCAGCATCAACAGCGAGATGAATATAAAGGATCCCTGTTCTTCTCCTTCGATTCTGATGTCGAGAAAACTAGTTTACCCGCCGCCCTGGACTCTTCGTCGAACGAGTTGAAGGATACAGAATCCTCGATCCCCATGGATTGAACGAGTTCGGGACCTCGATCCACGGCCGAAAGGGCGACGAGCTGTGAGAAGCTCCTGCTTAGTCTGCGAAAACGAGATGATCCTGTCCGTCGTCGCTGCTGGACGGAGTCTCCCGGATGAGGTGACTCAAAAAGGGAACGAGGGTGTCGAGGACGCGGTAATCGAATATATGGAGTTCCTTCTCGACGCAGGCTAGAGTAAAGCGAGCCCTCCGATCGCTTAAGTTTGATACTTTTTGCAAGTTTTGTGGATCTTGGTTGCGTGGAGCATCCCCCTTCCGAAACAACGAAGGACAAAGTTGGAACGGAATGAAATGGAACGAGAGCCTATTGAGTTTATTCTTCTGGGGAATCCGAGCAGACTTTCCTCGTGTTTGCGTAAATCATCGGATTCGACGATTCCGAGCCAATGGCTGGATAACCATTTACATCTTTTCTTCGCTCGATTGTTTTTCTCTTGTCGAAAGTTTTCCTTTCGCTTCTTGTATGTATGTATGTATAAGCCGACCAAGCAAGCGACTATCGCCCGCTCGACTAACAACCAAAGCCAAGGCTGACATTTCTAAGTCCAGAAATATCGACTTCAACTCGCCGACGAATTCTCGGCGTTATGCGACGTCGTTTCGGATCATGCGCTGGGCAATATATGCACTTTGACTCATGGATGGGTGACGCGGCGAAAACGATTACGCCCGAGAATGGGCAATGCTCGGAACGTTCGGAAACGAAAACTGATGGACTGAAGTCGATGACAACGTTGATTATAACGATCGGTGCTTCTTTTCTCTTCCGCAGATCTCCCGAGTCAGGTCCCACCGCTCACACCTGGCACCAATCAGAAGATGGCGCAAGCCTTGCGAGCATCGTTTGCATCCTGGGAGAAAGTTCAGGAAGCGAGTAACACTCCAAAAGGTGAATGAATGTCATTTGTCTCCTGTATTTTCGAGGCCTCTCCGAGTTTCCTCGTGGCGTCTCCGAGTTTCTCCAACCCCTCTCCGGGGGACGTATTTCGTTCCGGCACGAATGCGCTGCTCACGGTCCCGGGGCGGCTGAGTGAGCGTCCCGGTGGCCATCGGAGCTAAATCGTAGCGGTAGCGAGTTCTGACTGAGCACGACGAACTCAGTTTTGCGTGGCCCTGTGGATTTTTATGGCTGTTGAACAGTCGAGAACGGCTCGCTTCGAGGGACGATGGCATCACGGAGAGCTCATTTCGAATCAAATGGTCAAAACGTTTCGAGGCATGTTGCGGAAAATTTCGGAGAGTCAGATGAAGAGCGTATCAGATAGCTTATGGCGGTAGTGCACAGTTATCTCGACGGCTACCGTCGGAGCCTCTCCTGAGCCCATGAGAAGGCGAGAGAGAGAGCGTGAGAGTATCAAAGAGAGAGTTGGAGTGAGGAGCAGTGGTTTTACCTTAACCAATTTGAGAGCTTGGCTCGTGCACCTCTCTCACCGGAAGTTCGGACAGTCCCGGAAACGCGGCTTTATATAACAAACTAGAGGAACAACGAGATGAAAATGAAGACGACGCCGATTACCACGAAACTGGGGAGAGATAGGCGAGCTGTACGGCGAAGCAGATGCACGATGTTTTTCGTAGAACGAACGGATGAAATCGAGTTGAATTATCGCTTGACACGATCCGTGCTCGCCAAGCTCTTCTCTCGGCGTCAGGGATCGGTCTGGATCATGCGCGAACTCCGCCTGAGTGACACATCGATCGTTTGGTCACTTGGACGGCCGCCGAGGGAAGGAATGATACGCTTTTGTTTTCCACTGATTCGTTTGGGTCTCCGTGACTCTTGTTCACGATCGGCTATGTCTGATCAAGGCTTGGTCGAGTGGAGATCTTCTAGAACGGAGCGCCACGGTGGAGCCCAACCATGTGCTGCAGGGCTCGGAGGAAGGAAAATCTGAAACGTGATGTTTTGCAGATCCACGCCAGTGGTCCTCTCAGGACGTCCGCCATTGGCTGGCATGGACCATCAAGGAGTTCAGCCTTGAAGGGGTGGATCCTGGCCTATTCGGTACGTTGGACGGTCGCGAGATGTGTGCAATGGGCAAAGAGGCTTTCCTTGCGAGAACCCCGCCCTACTCGGGCGATATCCTCTGGGAGCATCTTGACATCATGCAGAAAGGTGAGTTGTGTTGCGACGTACTTGTGCTCATCTCCGGAGCTTCCTGTCTGAGCCTGTCTCCGATGGAGCTGATCTGGGACTAGAAAAGCGTGAAAAGTAAGCCGAGTGCATGAAACGAGTTGGTGAATGAGAAAATCGGTCGCCGAGCAAGATTCTGCATGGCGGTTCAGCATGCGCGCGAGCACTCGTTCTAGGGGCGGACGAAAAAGCAGTAGAACGACGAACTAGCAAACGAACAACGAACAATCGAGCGAACCTTCACGGAGCAGCAATAGGAATTTTCAGTGAATTTCGGTACTTCCGCTAATTGTGTTGCTCTCCGACGACGGCGGGACTGCGTGCCTCGCCACTAACAGTACTCGGCAGCCCCGAACAACAGGGCCGACGGTGCGTGCAACAAGTCCAAGGCGAAAAGTCGTCCGGCCTTCTGAAAGACAAGCGGGCGGGCGGTCAGGCAGACAGGCAGAACGTCGTCGCCGCCGTCGTCGTCGTCAGACATGGTGAAACGCGCGGTGAGTTCAGAGAAAGTAGTGGACTTTCTTCGGTCACACCTCCGTCTCCGACATCCGGTCGTTGTCTTCTCGAAGAAGCGAAACGAACGGACCGAGCCAACAGCACGATTGAAGTAACAGTGCGACTTCCGTTCCTCGCCATTATCGTCGCCGTCGTTATTGTCGCCGCAGCAGCAGCAGCGTCGGCGCTTAAGGACTCGAGTCTCCGGAGGGTCCGGAGATTCAGCCAGAGGTCCGAGGTCGGGTTCAGGCTATCGACGAGAGCAACCACCTGAGGTTATGAACTCTGACCGATCCTGTAGTATGTAGTACCCCTTCTGTTTTTTTCTCTCTGACTGAGTGAGTGAGTAGCAATCAGGTGGCTTTTGCACAGGAATCCGCATCGGCGGTAGGGGACAGTTTATGAACAAGCGGTTGATGCCACAAAGTGGCGGGGGAATGAGGTTGGTGACCTGATCCACAAGTGACACAAAGGACAGGAAGCCAACTGGATCTAGACTGCTTGGTGCAGCGTTCTATCGCCGGCTCGTTCGATTCTGGTTCACGTTCCGGTCGACCAGCCCCAGCGGTTCCCGTGCGCTGCACTCAGCAGAGTTGTTGTCACCGTTCGAGCCAGGCTATGAGGTCCGCTATCTGTTCGACATGTTCATTTGTCCTGTTTACCAGTTTCGCTCCCTCCCTCCCTGCCTTCGGCTCCTGCCAAATAATTCCCTCCGCTGGTGGGTTGCTCGACTGCTTTGTCTATTCGGATGCTGGTGGGTGGGCGGCCGCGCAGGCAAGCCGGCAGGTAGGTAGGAAGGCATGGCAAACCTGGGCGAGGTGGCCGGGGCAGAATGACGCTTGGCGGAGCAAGAAGGTAGCTCCGTCGGTCGCTTGATTTGTTCTCTGGTTGGTTGGTCTGTTGGCAGCTAAGCCGTTCTTTCAGTCGACCCGGGCCTCTGAGTGGCGCGTGGTGCCCCAGTTGCGGCTATCCAGCACCATTATGACTACTCACCGCCGCCTCTGTCGAACGTCGTCCGCATTATGCGTTGCCGTGCGCTTCTTTCAAAGCGTACTGCTGCTACCAACGCCGCTTCTGCTGAAGCTTTTTCGGTACACCGGCTCCGAAGGCCAACCCCTTCCGATAGGCTGAGTTTCGGCTCGTTCGAAGATCGATCGACAGACCGAACCATCGATCGATCGATCGCTCGCTCGATCGGTACTGCGCCGGTGGGGGCGTCGGAAGTGTGTAGTAGCGGATAGCAGAGAAATTTTCTGTTTACCATCCAACCCGTTTACTCTGTGTGTTGTTTCTCACACGGAATTCATTACACATCAGGAGGGGCATGTGTTCCTGATCATCGTGTCTTGAGAGCGTGAATTTCTCGTGGGCAGGCGAGGGCGCGAACTCGGCCACTCCTCCTCCAAAATCGCGAACATACTGCATGCATGTAACGAGCTGAACAACGATCACCCAGCATCGGATACGTCTGGCGCGGCGGGAGATGGCGACAAGAATCGGCGGTATCGGTCTCGGGCCAGACCAAGCCCGCGGCTCGCTCACTCGAAATCTGAGGAACTCATCCCAATGATCGGCATGTCTTTAATTTAGACTCGACGCTCCGTAGAAGCGCTTCGTAGAAGGTGTGAAAATTGTGGGAGCCCATGTCTCGAGACTTACGGAGCCATCCCCACGAGCTTCGTCGTAGAGTTTGTTTGTATCCGATGACGGGGAAAAATCGGAGCTGGCGTCATCCAACCAGATGGTTCCGAGAGTGCTCTTGACCTAAAACCGATCGCAGCCTCAAAGTTCTTGAGACGAAAAATCTCCCGCGTGCTCCAAAATGATTCACGAGCTAATCGTGGTTCCGGTTCGAATCCTAGCACTGGTTTGGACCGTGAATATATTTTCCGAAGTCCGGAGGCGATATCGAAAGTGAGAAGTCTCCGCCAAATGATTCGAGGTCCTCCATTCCGGTTCGGACCGCTTCCAGTTTTTTTTTTTGTATTCTTCTGACTGAAATCTCGAATAATTGATTAGTTGAAAACCTTTCTCGAATCATCTGCTCTGGGAACGAGCGAAGTCATTGATGGATTATCATCTGTCGTCGGATTAATGAATGACCGCAAACACTCAGGATGACGGAGCGCATTTCAAAAAAACAGAATTTTTTCCACGGATGCCGAAGTGAACAAACGTGTGTCTTTCTGTCCTGCCGAGTGAGGGTGTGCGAATGTTTGTGTCGCAATTTTTCCCCTGCAGCCCTTTCCAGCTTCTGTCTCGGCTCTGCGAGAGTGGTGTGGATGATGTGAGCTGTGCTGTGGTAAGTGACGGTAATGTTGGCAGCGGCAGTGGTCGCTCCGCCTGTTCGCTCAGCTTGTGTCAAAGCGTCCAGTCAGTCGCCATCAGCTTGCCAAGCCGCGCGGACATACTCGGCCAGTCGCTCGACTGTCAGTCGGTCCGTCAACCCACCAGCCTCTCAGTAGTCAGTCAGGCAGGCGGATTTCTCTCCGCACCGGCATGACACCGGCGCCCGACACTTGTTGATCTGTGTTTCCGTCAGAATTGGTTCGCTCCTGGATTCGCTTTGCCGCCGGCCGGTTCCTGACCGGTGAGCATTCTAATCGCCTCGGAGGGGGACGAAAACAGAAAGTGGGTGCCCGTTCCGCGGATTCTGAACGTTCCTGGTGCGCGGGAGGATACACCGAACCCGACTGAAACATTTTCGGCTCATCGATTGAGCTCGAACTGGATTCTCTAAAGTTCGTTGTGCCGATCGGAGATTACTATAATGACTATAGTCGGACTACACAGTGCTCCAACACCTGTTGACATGCATCTGATGAGATCGTTCGACGGGATTCTTTCTGAAGGTCTCGCTGACCACGAGGATCTACAACCGAGCGTGAGCAGTAAGTTTCCCTACGAGTGCGGAACGAGAAGTTTGCCCGCGGCGGGAGCATCGGAAAAAGTCGCGCTTGTTGCTCCGAGTCGCTCTGTCTTCCTCCTCGGGCATGATCCATTTCCTTTGAGGTACCGAGGGTCCGTGATGGATCCTAGCACCTCCGCTTAAGCAAGTCATTTTCGGCCCGGACGAAGCGCCCTATACGAAAATTCCACCACTTCAGAGTAGAGAAAACAGAAGGGGCAAGATTTGAGCCCCGTCATACTCCGGAGCGGCGAGAGCGTCTCAATTCCGTTGGCGCCAACTTCCGAGACGTGGTCCTCGAGGATGGCTACGATTCAGAGGCCCATCTCCTGGTTGATGTCGTCCGAGAGCAGCGCGCGCGGCTCAAGAGGATACGTCGAAATCGCCGCTCCTCGAATATTCTTGCCGCTGTGAATTTGACGTTGGATTTGTCGTGAATCGGAATCAGAATCCAACGCGCGCGCATCTGGCGACCTGTAAGTGCTGGGTCGGGAATAAGTAATCCATAATTGGGCTTACACCGACCCGATTCGAGCAGCTCGATCACATGTGGATGCCATCTCGAATTCCGCGCAGGTTCGGAAAGCAAGCTCTTTAAATTCCTCGCTCAAATTTTGTAGAAGAGCTCAGGATCTATCATCCTCGAAAATCGAGCTAAAAACCTTGGCTGTGACGTCAGCTAGAGATCTTCTGAATTCTCGTATTTCCTCGCTGATGTTCTCTACGATTACGACGTTAATGAATTGTTGTCACGAGGAGATCGTTCAGAATAAACGTCGAGACATCGCATTCGTAAAGATATCGAAATCTTGTTCCCGTTCGCTCTCAATGAACGCGTGCGTGAGTGCGTTTACGCTGTTTACGTTACAGCTCGAAGAGGGCACCGCAACAATTGAACCCAGCGTCTGTAGGGTTCGATCGCGTGTTCCGTGAATGAATGAATCGGGTTTGTGCTCGATGAGCTCCGTAGTGGGCATCATCGTGTTGTGGTCGTGGTTGTTTTGTTATGCGATCATACTCGATGCTATGTTTTCGACCGTGTCATGGATCGAATTTCCAAGCCCAGGAAAATATTTTCCCCTCTCTGCTCTCTCTGCGGGTCGGTCTTCTGCCGATGCTCCCGAGATAACCCCCGAGGATAATCTTTAAAAATGTCCCATCGTTTTCTGTAGATGCCCTTCGGCATTCGTCCGAGAATAAAAAAAATAAAGGACTGAAACGACGGAGCTTGGCGCACTAATTCGCCACCGTCTGATGTTCGATTTCAAAAGGAAGAGTCGATACAATGCCAATACCTCGCTTGAAGCTATTCAGAGCTGTTCTCCACGTCTGTCCGTTTGTCCGAAGGATAACTGAGCCAGATAACCCGGTGAGGGACTCCCGAATCGATGCAGCATCTTCAGTCGCCGCGATCAGCTGGCACTTTCTGTGGTCGACAAATTGATTCACCACCGTGAAGATGTTGATAGGCGGTCGGTGTTCGCTTTTGACAAGTGGTAGCAACCAATCTTTTCTATTCCTCCCGTCGGAGCGCGCGGATCATATGACGATACGCGGACAAGTCATTGCCGCTCGGGTGTCTTCAAAAATTGCAGAAGAAGAGATCAAGCTATTCTCAGTCAGAACGAGTCAGACCTTGACAATCACGGAGGCGGCACGGAGACAGCGTAATTGGCGACGCGACTCAAAAAAAACTCCGTCAGTGTGTCCTTTCAACCGTCTTTCTATCTGTCCATCCGTCTTTCTATCTGTTCATCCGTCGTTGGTCGGCTGGACCGGCTCAACTCCTGATTGCCAATTCGACGCTTTTGAGGGAGCACTTCGATTTGGAATCAATAATCGTCGCTAGCGAAGCTCCGCCGATGTCTTATGCCGTCATCATTAGCCTATTGCGGCATCGCATTTTTCTCTCCTTCTCGGAGCTCACGAGTCGGAAGCGGAATACACGTCTCGTCAATCTGTAAAATCCTCCTGGCACACCGTCGACTCGAGAACGAGACTGAGAGATCTCTGACGACATCATAGTCATCGTGCTGTTGAATGAAAATGTAGTTCCGTACACAGTTCACAATCAGCTCACCAGATGAGGAGGCGAACTGGGTCGCACACTCACTCTGAGCGTCAAGGACAGCGGCGCACTCGACGCTCAGGAGTCCGAAATCCGTCGTGACGTTCTTCAAGCTCTAATTTGTCCGAAGCATGGCCGATCCGAAGCGATTTCGGGTATGAGAGAGCGGCGAATACCCTTAATATTTCTCGGACATGCGATATCGATGTCGATTATCTCTTGTGGAGTCGCTTTTCTTCTGGTTGTGCATCTCTGTAAAGCGGAACGTTGTGCATTAAAGGCTAAAGAGGCTCGCTGAGACGATTTCGCTCCATAGGTTATGACTTAGTGGCGAGTTGTTGCTCTTCTAGCCTTCAAGAGGGCCTCCACCTCAGTCGATCGGGCCAGTCGGCGACGCTAAGTACTGCTTACGCACCTGTGCAGATATATGAGCTATTCGAGTTGAACAAGCAAAAGCTGACACGCAGACAAAGATTACTCCACGATTCACGTATTTTTCCTCTCTTCTGTGAATGTGACCGATGCCTGTTGGCAACGGAGCGGCTCGACGTGAAATCACGGGTCGAATGGATCTCGAGATGACGTCAAAGCATGCACATCGAAGAATATAGATGGAGACTTTACCTTCGCTTGAAAATTCCGGAAGAATCGGTCTCCGTGCCTCATCCATGCATGCCGCACTCGAGGACGTGGAATTATAATGCCGCATTGTTTCCTTCCAGATTCAGATAAAGCTCTCCCCGAAACGCCGGTCGATCCGTTAGCTCCCGCTTTCACGATGACCTCGGCGTCGGCTGCGGAGTTCGAACATTTCTTCCACCATCCATCGCTGAACACCAACAACAACAACAGCAACGATACCAATAACAACAGTACCAACTCAACTGAAAGTGCGATTCAAGCTATGAAGAAACAACGCGCAGACCTTACGGAAGGTAAGTTCTTCGGATGTTCAAACCTAATGACGACCATCTCCACGGAGCTGTTCTTCTCGATTCCAGTCGAGCCTTAAAATCTTTCACGAATGTACCTACCCAATTTTAATTGTTGCGTATGAGTGAATCTCTATGCTTAATGGGGCTCATGAGGAGAAAACGTCCATGAAGCCTTGGCCGAGAGCGCGTTCCGAATGAATATATTCGAGTTCTCCCACGGCAAGCAATCGATAAGAAATCGCAGTTTGTCGGCGAGCAGCTGCCGCCATCGTTGACGGTCCGCCGAGGCATCGCTGGCGCCTCCGCTCTCGAGTGACCGTCCCGAGATCTCCACCTCATGAGTCAATCGCTCGGAGAAGATTTGAATTTTTTCCTATGTCTCCCGAAATCCGAAGAAGGTGTACAGCAGAGGATCCCGTCCGTCTCGATCCTCCCGGAGCCGAACAGGGGGAAGACGGGATCCGTCTAGCGCTCCTCTTCCCATCTTCACATGTTGTCGAACCAAACGAGCGTGTCTGACCAAGTCCAGGTTGTTTAGTAACGGACTTTTCCGGTCCATTCATCTCAGAATGGGGTGGTGTTCGCAGTAGGAGAACCGGCTCTCGCGCTAGGTATGCATGCGCATATTCTTCTATATATACTGGTTCTTCTCCTTCTGCGTCGTCGTCGTCGTCGTACTACAAGTACTAATACTTCTAGTGTGGCTGCTGCCGCTGCTGCTTCTTCTTGTACTTCTTTTTCGTTTTCTGTATCGTGCCATCCATCGGGGGTCTGCCGGAAGCTGACTTCCTGTGGGGTTGTTGAGCCAGCCCGCTAGCCAGCCAGCCAGTTGAGCCATCTATAAAAAGCACTACAGACTGTTGTAGCCTGCTGCCACTGCGGCGGCGGCGGCGGCCGTCGATGTTGCCGATGCTGCCGCCTAGTAGATTGCCGATAGATCTATCGTGCTGCTATCCACCATCACCACCACCTCCTCCCCCCAAAGGGTAGTTGTTGATGCGGCGGTTCGTAGCAGTAGCCGTAGTAGAGGCTGTTCTACCTCGTCTTCTATCGGGGAGCGGAAGTGTGGCCGGATGTCGGATCTTGACCTAGAGAGGGGTCATGCCTCCCCCAGTAACAGCGAAAGTTTCGACAAACATGTGGATGCATGCATGCGTGCGCTCGCTCGCTCGCTTGCTCGCCTTCCAATCGGTACTGCTCGCTTTCGATTCACTCGCTCGATTTTGATTCGACAATGCGATGGAATACGCTCTGAAGGATGCGCGGTTCCTAGCTCCACGGGAAAGAAAATCCCGTGAAGTTGTAGACCGTTCCCTGCAGGCCCTCTCGAGTTTCGCTCGGAAGATCTTCAGGGTCCCTACCTCCTCGACAGAAGCGGCGAGTTTGCAGAAGCCCTTCTGAAGATCTCGAAGTTTCTCGCTCTTCGTTCCTCCAGCGAGGAAATATCGGCCTGTAGAGACGAGAGGCTTCCTGTGCGCACAAGACGAGCTGGAACCCTGACCCTCCGTTGCTTAGATAGTAGATATACAATGTGAAAGGTTCCATCAAGCGGAGACGATGAGCTCCCGATCTCGACAAGTTGAGGAAAACGATCCGCGTGGGAGGGGGCATTGTACACATTACCCGTGAATGGATGTGGATTGTACACATCTCTGGCGTCTCGTCTGGTGGTGCTTTCGGTCGGTGTTCCCATCGACAGGTGCCGCACCGCGATCGTCTGACTGAGTGTCTTGAACTTTCTTTCTCATCCCTTCAGACGACTATGTCGACGACGGCTGCTGCTAGAGTTGCCGTAGCAGCAAGCCGAGTTCGATTAGTTGATTCCCACCCTGTACGACAATAGCACCACCTGTGCTGAGTGCCTCTCTTTTCTCTCTCGGTCGTCTTCTTCTTTCTCTCCTCTTTCTTGTTCTGTCGGATTGGTGCACATACGCAGTTCTGTCGTTTCGTCTGGTTCTCCGTCTTCTTGAACCGGCATGGACCGAAGCGTAGACCAATGAGCGCACAGCTCGCCCAGTTCTCCCTTTCTCTTCCGGAGAGCCGAATCGTGAGACTTGAATGAACGTAGTCGGAGGCCTTCTACACCTCCATTCAGTTGAGTTCGGCAGGCTGAGCAGTGAAGACACAGACTTTTCGTTTTCGAACTTTGTTGTCGAACGGCCTACCTGCCCTGTCTGGTCCTACTCAGGCCAGTCCCACTCTGAGCCCGGTCCAGCAATCCCGCTGGGGACTTGTTGACGTGTGCCGAGCTTGGAAGCTATTGACGTGTTCTGAGCGTGTTCAGTGCGACGACCATCTCACTAGGATTACTCGCCACCCCCCCCCCTTCCTTCTGCTCGGCCTTAGGGCAGAAGTCGCGCACCTTGATAGCAACCAGCCAGCCACGATTGAAAAGATGTTGCTCTCGTCGGTTCCAGGAACTCCTTTCGACACCAGCAGACTTAACGGATACCGTCTACCTGCTGACGTGCAGATCAAGGTCGAGAAGGCCGATTGTGGTGAGTAGTTCCCGCTCGATAGTTCCCATAGGGGTCGATTTATAGGAGGATACGTTGCCTGCATGGAGGACACGTTGTTCTCCGCTCCCTATCCCAGTCATCCTCTGTCCTCTCTCTTCCCGAGCTGACATGGATTGCTGAGATCTCGTACGCTCGCCTTGCATCTTGGTGATTCGGTTAAAGACTATCTTTCGGAACCCCTCGCCCTCTAGCGGTTCTCGTTCGAATAATCGTCGAAACCTATTTGTCTGTCTCGGTGTCTTGTGCTCCTCCGGCTATGAGTGGACGCATAGACGGTCCAGTACATCCAAGACGACACCTGATGGGGATCAGAGCGGGCACTTGAACAACCTGTCCCTTAGGATATACCCTAGGCACAACAGATGGAATCCGAGGCATCTTCTCTCCGCTTCTCGTTGTCGTCCCCGTCGCCGTCTAGGTCGTTGTTGAGACGCAGTCGGATTTTTTCTGTGCGACCATTTGTTGATTCTCGCCGCTGCAGCGTCTCTGAGGAATATCCATTAGAACTCCCGAATTCGGGCGGCGGCGACGCCACGGCTTCCTGCATAAATTCTTTTCGAATGCATGAGGTTTTGCCTCCCGTCGTAGACTTCTGATAGGCACCGTTTCCGCTCCTGAGAATTGTTGTTCTGACGTCTCGATCCCTCTTCCACAGGTTACATATCTGAGGGAATGGCGACCAGTGCTCCCGACGCTTCCCCCGAAGTCATAATCGGCTCGACATTCGACGACCAACACTACGGCCCAGACCCTGGCCAGTATTATCCCAACTATTTCGAGCAGTCGCCCGAGTTCTACCCCTCAACCTCGTATCACAACTCGTCGTACACGGACGTGAAAAATGTCGCTACTTATTCAACTCAGAAGAATCTCTCTAATGCTCAAAAACCCTATCCGATTTCGATGTCGACCTCAGCCAATATCAACAACAATAACCTGTTGACTCCCAACAACAACACGAACGGCACCAACAACAACAATAATAATCAGCTGTCGAATTTCTTCGACCCGAGCTACGAGACCCCCTTCCAGACGGTACCGCAGGTCCCGAGCTCCCAGCAGACACCTCAGAGCTCAGGCCAGGGCAGCCCCCAGGCGCTTCAACAGAACCGGGCGGATTCGTCATCCCCGAACGCCTGGACGCCAACGTGCATGCCCCAACAGAGCAGTCCACCTCAAAATCCCAACCAGAGATTCCTCAACAGCAACGCACCTTCCGCCGTCGACGCTTTCTATCCCCCTTACCCCATGCAACGGTACCCCTTGACCAGTTACAATGGCGATTCGAGACCAGTTATCCAAGCGTCGGTTCTAGCCGGTAGCGGGCCAATCCAGCTATGGCAGTTTCTCCTCGAGTTGCTCACCGACAAGTCTTGCCAGAGCTTTATTTCGTGGACCGGTGACGGCTGGGAGTTCAAACTCACCGACCCCGATGAGGTCGCGCGCCGATGGGGCCATCGCAAGAACAAACCAAAAATGAACTACGAGAAATTGTCCCGTGGACTACGGTACTACTATGACAAGAACATCATTCACAAGACTTCGGGCAAACGTTACGTGTACCGTTTCGTCTGTGACCTCAACAGCATTCTGGGTTTCACGCCAGAGGAGCTGCATGCCGCCGTGGACCTCAAACCCGAATCGAAGAAGGAAGAAGATCAAAATCTCCTCTCGATTAGCCAGTGTTAGCAGATGGCATTCAATCAAAGCACAGAACGAAGTCAGTGAACATATTGAGAACAACGCTCCTCCGCGGCGAAAGTCTCTCAGATGAGCTCCGGAGCTGTCACGCAGGGTACAGAAGACACGCATTGAGAGCACAAGCACACAGAAGGTGTTCAGAGGAAACTAGGAATGAGTTCCCGAGAAGAATGAAGACGTCGCGAAGAACGACGGAGGATGAGGAAGAGGACGATTCCATCTATGAGGGTACGTCCACGCGTGGTAACCTGCGTGAACTCGTTCTGGTCCCGACCCTATGCAAACGCCGCGAAAATTCCCCCTCGGAGCCCCTGCATACGTCGCGGCTCGCGCCTTAGCTGAGAAGATATTGTGGAAGGCGGGCTGGCCGACTGGCTGGCTGTCATCATCCTATGAACCCTGTACTGAAGTGCATCGTATTCGGAGCCCGCTGGTTCATGCAATAGCTGTGATCTCAAAGGTGCGTCCTCTACCATCGGGGTCGCCTTGCTCTCGAAAACTACAAATACATCATCACTTATTCTCACCCGCTATACTTCATCAACGCTTGGAGCCGTTCAGCGGAAACCGTTCGTGTGGCCGAACCTAATGCTCTCCACCTCTGCGTGCCCCAAATCCACAGAAAGTGCCTTAGTTTATGAAAAACAAGGTTTCGGAACTAGGCGCACGATCAATGAGAATTTCGACGAATGCTGTTCTCGTCCCGGGCCGGTTCGAGTGCCGTCCCGCTGTTAAAGTGCTGTACATAGATGACGTAATATATTACTTCGTACCGAGTATATTTATTTCATAGGGAAGCAGGAAGAATGACAGAGCGAAACATACCATGGTGAAGCAGAGCCTGATGAACAAGTAAATAACCAAAAACCCTTTAGATAGTTCTCAGTAATAAATACGACCAGTTACATTTAAGTACGAAATTCTGTATTCTTCACTTACATAGATGACTCATCCATGGGGCCGATTGTCCTTCGCTGTACCTGCCTGTCCAATTCGAGGGTGGGAAGGGCTTATGATATTCAAGCAGCTCCTCACGCCAGCCAGGAGTCAGAAGGGTGTAGTTATTTTACTACTTTGAGCTTGATTATAGCGAGAATATTCACCGGAGGTCGCAAGGCTCCTCATCAACTCAATTGATGGCTGGGACCTGGGACGCAATCGAAGCGAGCGAGGAATAATTGCTGATTCCGAATGTTCCGGTGTGCTTGAGAGCACTTCGGCAGGGGAAACGGGCATGAGAAGTAGAGCTCCCGATATTATATGGCGTAATACATTGTGGACAGCCTTTCGCCGACGCGGTACGCTCAGAGCTGATCTTTCCGGACTTGGTCACAAACTCAGTCACTCGAGATTAAGTGACATCCTCCGCATCTTCTCTCCGCGATACCTGGTGATCAAGGACTCCGATGAAGGAGCCTTGAGCTCATGAAAGAGATCGCAGAGTCGAATGCCACCGGAATCTATCTGTGGAGAAACCGAGACGAAGGCAAGTAGAAATATCGGTTGAGCGTCGACCGTTTTATGAATTCGCCGCGTTAAGGCTTACGGAGAGTGATAAGGGGAGATCCCCCTGATCCTCTGCCCAAGACATGGCCGTACTCCCTCACTAGAGGGCAAAGAATGTATTCAGTACATATTCAGTATGCATTAGGTAGTCTGATCGGGGACCAAATTCCGTAATTGCTCTTGGAAGACTCGCCATAGGCGAGAATCTCTTTGGTAGGCGTCTGGGTCTGAAAGTCGAGGGGCGGAAATCTGCTAGCGGATGGCGATTTTATGAATCGAGGGCTACGCTCTCATCCCCCAGTCGACAAGCCGATTGCATCATGATTCATTGCTCTTAAGTTCTACCTTTACCGATCTTACACCAGAATCCCATTGGCCGTATGAGGACAAATCTCGGCCGAAAAAGTTCAAGACGCAATCAAGCTTCTCTTCATACCTCGCGAGTCATCGTAATGAAATTTAGTAAAATCGAGAATTCGCTCGCGCATGTCGATATGAATATGAAGACTTCCGCGCCAGAAAATCGACAGATTGCCCTCCGCTCGCTCATATCGATATGAAAACTTCAGCGTCAGGAAATCTACAGATTGCCCTCGTCGGATTGTCCCCCATTTAAGCTCCCACCATTCATGCCCATCGTGGGACTGCAAAAATACTGACGGCACTCTATCGAGGTTCGTCTAATTGACAGCTCCGGTTTTGTGACGAATTCAACGACGAAATCATGAAACAATGAGAACGGCTGAGAAACGACCCTCAGAGTAGGGCGACCTCGTAGCGTAGGAGCCGAGAGTCTTTTCTCGACCTTCTGATTAAAACGGAAAACAATGGCGAACCGAATGAACAGGCGATCTGAGTCGTTCGAGCTAAGAGCCGAAATCAGATGATGAAGCAGTTGCCAGATGCTACATGGATTGGATGCCGACCCCTCAGATATTGGGGGACGCAGTTTCTCGGAACGCTGTGTCTCCGTCGAGCTCGAGCCGCAGAGTCCCAACCCTTTAGAGCAATTATCTAGGAATTTCGACGTCGAAACGTCTTCAACTTGGACCGGGTGACAGCTCGAATGAACTTCGTCATATGACCCTGAGAAGCCATTTTAGTCGGGTTATCACTCCGGCCCCAGAAGGTGCCCAGGTGCCGACATTGCACGTAGACATTTGTATCTCAAGATCTACAGTTCCATCGCCGTCACGCTGCCATTCAAAGCCCCCTGGAGTTGGCGCCCTCTGTCGATAAGCGTCTCTTCCGAAGAAGAGCGTGTCGTTCTCACGCATAGGCTATAGAACGCAGCAGGCGTGACGTTTTCGGGATTACTTCGAGTGTATTCGGAAAGACCTGCATCGCCTTCCTGCTAAATCGTTGCCACCGCTTCGGAGGCCTTGCAGGTCAGAATATCAGTGACCCGGTCGATGCCTATACTATGGCTTTGTTTATGCCGCGTCCCCAGTCCCCACGATGACGACGACTACGCGTTCGATGTCTACATGAAGAAGAACATGATTCGAAGTGTCCTCCCATCAGCGGCCTGGTGAGGAGATGGAAGATATTCCCTCGGATCCAAACTCATGCTTGAGCTAGCCCCACATGGAGTATTTAATATCCCTCCCCCATCGGCTTCAACCTGGCTTAGGACCCACCCGCGCAAAGAACCCCTGGAGCTCCGACATATCGGTGTAATTGATTCAAAGCGCCCGAAAGATCCACCTGAGCGACCGCCATCTCCGCCATGCGAACACGAACCAATCTCGTCCGATGGGACTATGGGTGTCTCGAAGCGTCGGCGTCGCAACGAGTGGACCCATCAACCGGTTTTAAGTGTAGATAAATTATCTGATTGAATCACAGATGTGAGAACTCCAATTCCGCGAGCTCGTGAAGAGAGCGGAGTCGAATTCAGCTTTCAAGCTAATGGGTCAGGAAGTGCTCTCACGATCCGAGTCGCCGCGGCCGGAACGGCATTCAGGACAGGTCCGCACTCCGGATCGCTGTTTGCGAGCAAGAGGGAAGATAATTTGAGATATGATAGAGAATCGTGAATCTCGTGGGACGATTGATCGACACGAATCAGGTTTTCCTGGAATCGAAACCTGATTCAGTACAGTATTGGGCTGCCCGAACGAAAAACATGTTCGCCACGGCTCGTCATCTCGCTGACCCGTAGGCGTTTCTGGCAATGAGTGCGACCGGAACACACTGGACACCGGCCGAAGCTGGTGCGAGTTCTCAGCGGTCTCTCCGGAGGATACAGAAATATCGAGATTTCTGAAGATGAGTAGTCTATTCGACAAGCTGGACAGATGAAGTTTGCAGGGGTGTTTTATTTACAGGCGTTTGTTTGACGTTCTCCTGTCATGTTACAGGTAAAGCCTGAGCACTAACTGCGGCACCTTCCTCCGGCACAAGAACGCTACAGCCTGATATCGGCGTCCGGCAACCGCTTGTCCGCATCCTCCAACTATTCGTTCCGGCTACGAAGGATAAATCGAAAGAGGATCGGTCAATCGGAGACTCCAGCCGAGTAGGACGCAACAAACGCATTGACAAGAGCCAGACATCCATCGAGTCGAGAGTCGAGAGACGAATAGTCTTACGCCAGACTCATGGATACGTCAAGCTCGGGCTTATAGCGGGGGATCCCTCTGAAGAGATGTGAGGCGTTCTGTACCATGGATTGAGGAGGCGGAAGGGCGCCGGGAGTTTTGGCTTTGGCGCGCAGATCTTTCTTGGTTAGTGCCTTCGATCGCTTTTCGCGTTCTGGGGACGACGGGTCCGTCGATACAACTTTCATCGATACTGTCATTCATCTGAGGTTTGGGTGAGCACCCATCGAGCAGGTCTGTCGGAATCCAGATAGTCAGGCTCAGTCATCGGCTTTAGCAGAGTACATATGCTCGTATGGCCTTACGTCTCCGGCTTCCCAGCTCAGAGAGAACTTACCGCAGGCGCCGTGTGCATGCGCCTCCTGCTCTGGAGCGATGTCTCCGCCTGCCATTCCGCTTCGATCCGCCATCCGAACGAAAAGTAGCCTTAGGGGCTGATGAGCCCATGGTAACAAGACATGATCGAGACAACTGCGATACCGGAGTCCCGATCTATGGAGCTTGATAGATGGATATGGGTTTTTTGAAAGATATAGGTTTTGGCTAGAAGTTTTCCAGGGGGCTCAAAATATGGATCTTGCTTCTACTCACTGACTCACTCCGTCGAATATGGGACCATATCCGTACCTTTATCCTTGGACGGGCTCAGAGCATTCCGCGAGTCGGACACGTATCGGGGAAACCACGTGCAGAAAAGTGATGCCGTCATGAAAGCTGTCATTCGAGGGAGAACACGCCTATTCCTCAAAGAACAGGCTCTTCTGATTGTGCAACTCGTTCTCCCTGAGGCTGACATCTTTAGGCCCAAATGGTCAAAACAACTGCTCGTGACCAGTATCGGGAGCACAATGATCTGTGAGATTAGAGTTCCGAACCGAATCGGCTCTGACGAGGACGATGAGAGATATCGGGAGTTCTGGAAAGGATGGCAGCCATCAGCTTAGCCCTAGCTGCTGGACTTTGGACAGGCCGCACCGATGCGGCCTCGAGCTGCGGAGAGCAGAATCACACCAGACCAAGTTGCGAATACTAAAATATTTACTAAGCAAGTGAAATTCAGTCCGCTCGCCTCGGGGGTGCTTCCTCCCGCTGCCGCAGGTTGTACACACATCGAATCGTCACGGTTCTTTTGACGGCCATCGCTGTCAACATATACGCAACATCGAGGCAGCAAAGTCTTCAAACACTCGTACCGGAACGACGTTTCCCTTTCGGAGACCTGCGACTCCTTGGAAAGCCCTCGGCAGGACACCGCACAACCCGTGGAGCAGATTCGCCAGACATAGATGGAATATTAATTTGTAGATTCTACTGATTTCACGGCGTTGCCAGCCCACCAGGAAAAGACAGAAGACGTATCCATTAGGGGGACACATGGCCACCTACAGAACGCTGTATGACCAGCTCAACATAAGAGCTGCCGTGCCGCTCCGGCCATCAGCCGTGCTCGAAGTAAGACACCCAAGTCTGAATAGTAGTTTCGAGTACAAGGAATTTCCAATTCGAACGAGCGGATGAGCTAATTTCCAATTCGAACGAGCGGATGAGCTAATGTCCAGTTTTGGAAACGATCTCCTACAGATTTCAACCTGGAGGAAAGGCGTCGTCCCATTTTATTGAGTCGACGGCGCGGCGTTCTGTCTCGCAAGCCGATACCACCCGAGATCCGGGTGAGCAGCTGTTGCATGAGGATGTTGTTCATGAAATGAAGAGTCATTGAGATTCCTTATACTTTGTAACTGTATATTGATCTCAGCGCGAACAAACCGACCGATACATTCCATGATAAGAAGGTAGGCATGAGAAGGCTCGCTTCATACAATCAGGTTCACGTGTATATCAACAAAAACTCGACTTGATCGAGTGAATCATTCGACCATCGATTTCTCTCTAAACTTGAGCAACATCTACCACAAACGATAACGGACAACAAGGGAGTATTCATTTCTGTAAAAAACTGGACTCGATTCGAAACTTCACGATGTAACATGGTGGCAGCTCGGTAAAGTGAATTTAACCAATCTAGCTATGATGAAAGGCTCTTCTAACACTTTTTCTTCCTACATACGGATGATCCGAAATCTACCTCGAACGGGGGATGCCGATTTCGGGACATATCTGTACAGTGAGCGTCGTGGAAACGCTCTTTGACACTTTGAAATTTTTCCTCCTCGCGGGCTTCGAGCTGACCCGTCTGCGTCTTCTCTCCAAGCTGCGATCCGATTGAATGAAAACTCTCGAAATTAAGCAAATGGCTGCTGACGAATGAGTGAAGGACTGGAACGATCACTGCCAAAAGCAGCACTGAACTGCGGTGGCCTCTTGCGGGCTCCAGGCTGAAATATCCGAGCGCATCACCCCTTAGAAATTCCTGTTATCGGCACGGAACGAGCCCCGGGTATCAATAAGCACTGATCCGCCTGCGAGAAGCTACCAGCGATAAATACCTGTAGTCATCAGCTTCTGTCGATGTTGTCGCGACTCGAGTAGATATGAAAGATGGAATCAGACTCTCGATCCATGGAGTCAGAGTCTGCGCAGAATTGCACAGATCCGTTTCGCAGAAGCACATGTGGCCGTTGCCGTCGCTCTCCTGCATGCAAACGTGGTCTACCAGGAACAAATTAATTTGCAGGCTAGTCGTGCAAAGACGCCGCACGTTTGTCGTCACGTTTGCTAGGCCCGATGATGTTCCAGCAGTGCTGTAAGACACGATCTTCACGCAGCATCTGGAGGGAATTGGGCGTGAGCGTGATATTAATGAGATTATATCAGGATGATTATTTACAATATTACACAAATACAGGATAGAGTTATGATGATCAGATCTCGACGCTGTCGATGGAGCTCCTGCGTCCCCACGTTTCGTATGCGTCGAGCACGCACGCGTGATGCGCCTGGACTCTCTGGCGAGCGCAAATCTCGGGAACTTACCCCAAACATTTCTCCACCAGAAGTTCGCTGTCGTAATAATCCGTATAGTTCCATGGATCACCACATTTAGGATCATGGGTGGAGTCGCATTTGTAGCAAGGTATGCCTTCATCTGCAAACGGAAAAAAAAAGACTCTTCAAGAACGTCGAACACTAGAAGAATTCCACAACAAGGACAATGGCCGTCGTTTGAGCTAGAACCGATTCGCTGATGTCTGACGAATATTCCCGTGTCGGGATATCACCTACTTATGCATTCTCCTTCGGCAAGCGCGACGCCTTGATGGCCCACTGAACAGCTGAAGATCGCGGCTACGGGAATATTCGAGGTTTATGGCGACGGTCGATTATTTCACTTCCGGGATCCACGAGTCGACAATTAAAGACAGCTCACCGGCTAGAAGCATCACTCGAAAAAGGAGATTCGAAGCAACTACTGAAGACAATCCTCGCAAGGGATTCCAATGCTCTGTCCTCTGACTCGCCGTACGCGTTCTGGAATCACGTATGCATGGTACTCGGATATGGACCGTGATAGCTCATTCAGTATGAAGGATAAAACATACAATACCACTGCAATAATTCTCACCGTTTCATCGCGCGTCTTATCTCTCGTGATCCGATTCTGCAATTCGACGATTTGTTTCTCGGAGCGCTGTGCACACGACGGCTCGGATTGGGCTTCCAACCGCGAGTATAGCCCACCTGTGGAAGATTGCGAGCGTGAATGCTCTATCTTCTCGAATGAGATCATGGGAGCTGGTATTTCGCATCGTCGAATGATGGGTCCGAGGTCGAGACTCGCGGTTTTGTGGAGGAATCGTTCCATAACCCGAGTCGGGGACTCGACTGATGTTCATGCATTGCGAGGCAGTCTCTCCTCTTTGACCCATCAATCGACTCGATAGCGCGAAATCGAATGCACGGACGTGGACCCTCCATCAGGTCTTTTCGCCGATGAGCTCATTATTCACATAAGAACTACCGATCTCCTCATCGGGCTCTCTACAACACTGCGACCGTGGGTTCAGTCCACTAACGTTCCATTCTTTTTTGGTCGCGAACGATCCGCTGTGGATTATTTATCAACGGTCGAGCTCACCGTGTTCCAGTACGTTTTCCGCGAGACACACGCTACGCTCGGGCGCGTGCAGCTCCCAGAAAGCAAATCTCGCTCGTTCCATCCGCAGGCTCAGGCTCTCAGGAAGAGGGACGCCATTTTGATGGCCTGCTGCTCAGAGAACAAAACTGTATCTACCAGCTGAGACATCGAGAGGGTGCACTTTGGACCCGCGCAGGCCTCGAGAGAGAACCTTCGCCGGTGTATTCGGCTTCTGATTAGGGAACAGTCCTCCCCTCTCAGGGGATCGGATGGTAAGACAATACCCGAAGACGAAACTCGTGGTAATTTCGTCGGAGCGTATTTTTCTGTCGAGCTGAACCCTGGTTCAGAGACCTCGTCAGTCCCGCACCAAGCTTTAGGGTCGTAATTTGATCCCAAGATATAGCGGAGCGAACAAAAAGCGGCGTGCTGGGAATGAGCGAGGACGGAACGGACGGAATATCTCACAATCGTCCTCGATCTAACTCTCATGACCAGTTGACTCTTTTCATTCGAGTACCCATACATTATTCTCAAAAGTATTTATTCATCCAAAGAGCATCGTCGGCTTCACCAGGCCCTGTTGAGCGAGTGAACACAGCGCTGAAGAATTGCAGAAAAATCGGCTGCATTATACTCCGGCCCGGTACTCTCCCTTTGTTGAGTAGCGACGAAATTACGATCGAGAAGTCAGCCAAGCTGAGTCTGGTCACACCGCATTATTTAGAGTTGGTAGTCCGTCATGCAGAATGGCTTAGCATCGTTCGTTCTTAGGAAGAAGATTGCATGTTCGGCTGTAGCGTTGAACTGGCTGATGAAATGTCTCGCGTCCAAAACCGGATGGCAGCTGCCCTTGAACGCGTGTTCGACCGAGGCGCAGGGGAAACCGCGATAGAGGCAGTTCTGGATGCTCGTCAGAGCTTCAACGTAGTACTCGTACGCGCGATTGTGGGCGCAAGCGAGGTCCAAGACTGGGAAGCCGAATCCTACTTCAGTCTCTCATTCAATCCCTGAGCTAGCTTGTTCGTAGAAGAAAACTCAAGGATCTCGATCCGAGGCTCGCTAAGAGTTCGTTCCACGAGTCGGAGTGGAGGTCGGAGTGGGCACGGACGAGTCATAAAGGTCCGTCTGATTGGGTGAGCGAATGAGAATACTCGTTATACTCACAGCGACAGCCGGGCTGATCGATACCCCCGTTGGGGTAGTAATCCACGTGTCCGTAGTCCATGCTCAGACCAACTTTGCCTCGCCATAAAACATTCCCTGCAGACGTATGCACCGCTTCCAAGAAATGTACGTGCTCCTTTGAGGGCCAAATTCCATTAACCTCGAATAAGGGTGCGGCGCAGTCCAGAGCTGAGGGAGATGGGAACGTCAAAGCCTGCTCATCCGTAACATTGACTCATGGAAGCTTCATGGTTGACGAGTTTCATAGATACCTGTGATTTTGCCGATCTTTTCCCCCCAGATTTGGAAAACTTCTTTAGCGAAAAAGCCGGCAACCTGAGCACCGAGGGAAAATCCGATGAACTCGACGTTTTCCAAAGGGATCGCGTACTCCTCAACAAGCTTCAAGCATAGATGGGCGGCGATCCTCCCGACCACATCAGCGTTCGCGGCAGCGCCGAAATAGAGGGTCGAAGCTCGAGCGCCTTTCGTCCAGTCGACTATGATGACGTTGTCACCGTGGACTTTCGTTTTCGCCTCCTTAATCTCGTGGAGCCAGCTCAGGTCGCCGTTACCACCGAAGCCGTGAGCGACGAAAACGAGCTTTTTGCGTGGATCTCTCAGTGACTTCTGAGTTTCTTCATCTTCCTGACCTACGGTCGACTCGTAGCCATAAACCCTCGCCGCAGAATCTGAAGTCTGGAAGACAATCAACGTCATTTCAGGGACCCCACCCGATTTCCTATCCGCGACAAGCTCGGGAAGACGTCAACGTTCGAGGATCATAAGCCTTTGAGGTCCTTACTGGAGTGTAAAGGCGGAATTTGGGGCTGATCGATTGAGGTGGTTCCGGAAGATATCCGAGAGGCTGCCTGCTGAAGCAACCGAGGTCACCGTAACACGCGCTCGCGTTGAGCGAATACTCAGAGTATGTATTCACTCTGCGGCTCTCAGCGTTCATCATCAGAGCGATCAGATGATTATCGTAGGCATTCTGCGCGGAACCTGCGCTGACTATCGTGGAGCCCGCCAGAAAAGTAAGTCCGCAGAGGAGATACATCTGGAAGGTTCGAAACCTTTTCCTTGGGCAACGGTGTCGGCGAGGATCGTGCCATCATTTCTCGAAACCTCTGAGGTCAATAACGACGACCCCGCAGCGCTGAAACGTAAGACATTACCTTGCTAGGCGTTCCGTGGTCTGCCCTCGGGGAAAACAGCGTAGTTTGCCGAAGGAGACAGCGTTTAAATATCGCGATACAATCTCGAAGTTAAAGCCGAAACGATTCAACTTTGATTTACAGCTGTTGAATTCCAATGTCTTTTCATCTCACGCTATCCGAATACTATGCGAGGAACGCGATAGACTGTATCGTTCTGGACAGATTAGTCGCGAAGATAAGGATCTTGGATCGCGTCGCAATCTTGGCTCCCCACGCGAATGCCCTACTTCGTAATGACCACGGACTTGAATATTTCGTGAGCGTCAAGCCTTTCCCTACAAAGGCCGTCTAATGCTCCCGGCTCTGCGTAGCCTCACCGCGAGATCCGCAACATGTCAGCGGCCGCGATCGTAATATGAATAGGTATGTTTTTCATGATTATACGTAGGCGTGAAAATAGAGGATGTTCTGCGCGGAGGGCGATCATCCGTATCCGCGGATCCCGGTTTCGCAAATCGGCGGATCTCGAGAAAAACTGCCGATATATGAGGAGTTCAACCTTCTCTCGACCCCCGGGGATCTTCCTCTGCAGGAACGGGGGCCGCCAGAGGGCTCCACTTGGAGCGAGGATATTCGTCGTCGTTGCAATTTTCAGTTTTGTAGAGCTCGTCGCGACCTCGTCTATTGAGTCTTCCAAAGAAGCTCCTTTGGAGAATCGCAGCCAGGGAAAGCCGCAGAGGTTTTGGTCCCGCTGAGAAGCTGATGAAGAGCGGAGGCCATGGGTGATGCCGACGTTTCCTGTATACAACCTCACCTCGTACCACCGCGATCAATTGGGGAAGTCTGGCGCACGATGGAATATTCTCGCTCCTTTCCGCGCGACTGCGTGAGAGCATTCGGATCCCATTAAGATGATACCGCTCCCGGATCACCTCAAAAAAGTGTGGTTAAATTATCATGTGTTGTGCCATGATGATAATGATGAGCCTCGAATACGAGGATCGATGTTGGAGCTTTGTTCGACTACACAGAATAGCCATGGTAGATGGTAGACACCCATTGGGACATTGGTCTAGGAACATTCTTCATGCGTCGATACGTCCATCATCCCCTTGGAAAATGTCCTCAAGAAGTTCTGAAGGATCTCGTCTGACTGAGTTTGCGGATTCGAACCGATGTTATGGCACGAGACAAGAAACATCTGAACTGAACAGCGACATTCGAGCCTCTACAAACGGTACGCAAAAGTCCTCAACAAGGCAAGGATCACACACATGCTATCCAACCCACAATCGTCCAGAGCATGTGTTCAATCTTGCCTCCGGATTCCGCTAGGGGAGTACGAAATCCGAGACCAGAAGCGACGAAGGGAAGCGACCGGAACTTCGATTCTAGCCGCGCGACTCGGTTTCCCGAAACCCGACATCGGCTGCAGTATCGATTGGAATACAACCAGGAGATTCCTCGAGGTCACTGATGTGATAGCAGGTATGTCCAGGCTCGACCTTGATTTCCTCACAAAGTCGAAGCTCCTCTTGAGGCTCTCGACCTATTGTATCTCACGTACTCATTTTTATCAAGTTGGGATAATTATCTCCACTATGCTCGGAAACAGCTGAGAGTTTTGCCGGACTTATTCCGTGAGATCCCATGTCACCTCTACCTGATCCGCGGGAGAGGTGTGCGCCTGCTATACAATTGAAGTTAGGACCCCCAGCCACTTTCACCTCTCCATCCGAGTCTTCTTTCGAGACTGCATGATCAATTTTCGCGGGGTCGTGTCCTCGATCCTATACACACAGCCTAATTCGAGCTGAGTCTCCCGTGGAGAAAAAAGATCTGGATAGCTCAAGATTTCGTGGAATACGATTCGGGCATCGTTGCACTGCAATGTAGGCCAAGACAAACGAGCTGTGAGACGAACAGTGAGTTCAGCGCGAGGCGTGCACTCGTCCAGAACACAGCCGCATCGTCTCTCCATGCAGCAGCATTGCCACCGATTCTCTTCAAAACGGTGGAGACAGCATGCGAAAGGTCTGCAAAACACATACTACCATCGCTACTAGAAGAAAGGGAGAAGGGGATACTTGTCTACGGCAGTTTGTGCTCCATAAGGTTCATCTGTGAGAGGCTGCTGCTCTGGTCTTGTTGTTGTGTTGACACTTTGACATTCGCAAGCCGCTCTAGAATATCGGCATCTCACCCTTGAAATCCCGAAATATGTCGAGGTTTATCCGAGCCCAGCTGAACAATCTCAAGTCGAAGGAATTCCGAGAATACCTCTGCAGGTGAGCGTAGGTCTCGGTCTCATATTCCCATCAGAATATAAGAAAACCTCTCCGTTCCATCGCTTCACGAGCCCATTTGGACAGGAACTCTAAGTCGTATCTGTAGAGTCTCACGACGCATGATTTCGTGATTTTGACCTTGCCAGTAAACCGGAGATCAGGCTTCCGTTTCCTTGAATAAATGATTTTCCTCCCTCCCTCGCTCTCTTCTGCCATGGGCTCTACGGTATTTTCCATGGTCAACATTCAACAGTACAGTAAGTGCTTTTCGGAAGCGTACTGACAGCCTTCTATTCCTCTGATGCCGTCAGGCGAAGTCTCGAGCATTATCCTCCGGAATACCTCGGGCATGAGCTCTCATCATGCGAGGACTCCTCTGATTATCTCTATTCTCTATCCAGCACTTCTGGGGTCCCGTGGCGAATTGGGGATTGCCATTGGCCGCTCTTGCTGATATCAATAAGGATCCGGAAATTATCAGCGGCAAGATGACCGTGGGTAAGTTGGAGACAGCCCAAGCTGGCGAGAATAGGAAATCGCCATTCGCCGGAGGGGGGACTCCTCGCAGCAATAGCCCTCGTCAAGGGGTAATAAATCCAACAGCCGATTTTTTCCCTCCAGCCCTGGCCCTCTACTCGGCGGTCTTCATGAGGTTCGCAATCAAGGTCGAGCCCCGGAACATGCTACTATTCGCCTGCCATTTCACCAATGAATGCGCACAGCTTACACAATTAGGCCGTTTTACTAAATATCACTACCTTGGGGGCAAGAATGAGGTCAAGAAAACTTCCCTTACCGCGGAAAATTCTCCTCAAGCCGCCTCTTGATCGGATTCGATGCTATCTACATTGTTTTTATGATCGATTACCGGCTTGTATTGGCGGTTCAGCTCGATCGCGGATGAGCTTAGCTTCATCGGGCATGAGGATAATTTAGATTCGCCTTTCATACGAATGAATGGAATTATTTCCTGAGATTTTCGAATCACTGAACTGCTCCATACGAGACGGATGTCGCGAAAAGCGACCGAGTTAGCGGCGGTCCGTAGTCCGAGGTGTCCTTTGGGTTGAGTAGATGGAATAAAACTGCCTGAACGATAGGATGATTATTACCATTGAATTCTTGTCTGTCAGTTTTGTTCTGGGCGTGTAATCTCCGACCATCCACTGCCTGAGTAGGGGAGAAATCTTCCTAGAAATCATCTCGAAATCCACTTCGCATGGAAAATCCATCGTTGTGGAAGCATCATGAAGTCATCTGACTGAGCCAAAGCTAGCGATTACCATGCGAAACAACGAAACTCGTATGCCTTGTTCGAGAGCGGGCTGCTCGTCAGGGGGATGTCAAGATGGTCAAAACAGGCTGACCGATCCAGGATGTCAGTGCGCCTCATGCAGCGACACGTCGCTGCCACCGTCTTCTCGGAGTGGCGGACCTTCCCGCGGCAGGAATTCGAAGATTTCGAAGGCTAAGTCGAATCAAATCGGCAAACGCTTCATTCCCAGCAAGGGCCAGTACCACAAACCTATTACGTTCGAAGATCTCCCCATCACGATACCGCAAGCATGGACCTCCGACTTGCGACGAGCGATAATATCGAAGCGATTGACGAACGACTCCAAGCTGATAGCTCGTGCCATGTACGGAGGGGACGTGATTCCCGGCTGGGCCAATACTCGCGGCGAATGCCACATAGCCTGGGGTGGTCAGGTACCTCGAAATCTCGGCTCGGAGGAACTGCCTAATGAGTTCCGGCTCCCCTGAGGCTTGTCCGACTTTGCTCCAACATTCTTATTGTTCCGGTTTCTTCTCTAGAGCATAGTTGTCAACGCGCCCCGGAGAGTGCAGTTCCTTCTTGAAAGCGAAAACTTGGGCTGGATACCGTGGAACGGGACGATTCCAAGAAACGCTGTATTAGCGGGTCGGTCAAGCTACGGGGAAAGCACCTATGTCGCGAGATTCGGTGTCGGTCGCGAAATGATCTCAGGTAGCTACCAGATGAGATGTTCGTCTCTTATAAATGTCGCGATCGCTACATTGGAGCGATTGAGCGAAGAAACTTCTTACCCAGGCAGGTTTCAATCCTCTCACGATTGCATGCTCTTGAGTAATAACGGGAAGGAGTACGTAATCAAGACTGGCTTCGAAATCCTGATCAGGAGGCCGCGGACACGAATCGATGAATAATAAATGTATTTGTCGGAGCCACTCACGGCATAGCTACAGAATGCTCCGCCGTCGTGGAAACCGCAGCGTCTCATCAGCGACATCCTGGAAAAGTGAGATTTGAGCCGGGGGTGTCGGAAAGTCCTTGTAGGGACTTACTCACAACGGATTCTCCGGCGGGATGCTGCCGTAATGGGGAATGAAAGCCGGGGGAAGAGCGGGAGCCTGTGTTCGATTGTTCAAGTGAAATGATAGCGGTCTTTCAAAGCATAAGGAATGGTTTGTTCTGAGCCGGAAGGACGGTCTCTCCAGGTGCGTCAGGAACGCTCAAATATCTCCCCTCCCCCGGAGGAGGACCCGAAACAATCTTGGCAGATTTTTGTCGGGTTCGTGCGATGCTTCTAGTACCATCGATCACTCATCACCGCGGTTCCTTCCGATGTAAAAAAGGGGGAAGGGGAACCTGACGCATGTGAAGATACGTTTCTTCTAATCCGAACCTCTTAGGTGTTTTTCTGGCATCTCAATAGTTGGGCCAGGTGAGCACTGCAATTCCAGCCTCGGGTCGTTCGCGTGAAATCCGAAACGTCAGATGTGCAGGGCCGTACGGCGGGTTCGTCACGAGCGCGCTCCTGGCTCGTGTCGTCTGCTACGGCGGCTCTCTCCGAACAGCCCATGTTGAAAACAGAGGGGCGATTGACAGATAATCAGCTGTCTGTGCTCGAGTTCGTGGGGACCGAAACGTGACTCTACTTCGATTGATGGGCGTTCGAAATTCACTCAAAAATTAGGTGAGTGAAATAATGTAATTGCTGACCTATCTTGAGATCGAATGTAGAAGTTGTGCCCCGAAACGATCCGAACGAGTGACCCCCGTGCAGGAGACACAATGTCTTGGAAGGCTGCGACTTACGTCGACCTCCAGGAACCGGACTTGAGATCTCCGCTGGTACCGGTGGGTACACATCCCCTGGCTGGCAATTTATCCCCTCTCCGAAGCAAGGTATCTATGCCCTCGAGGCTCCGCAGCTCACTCACAATATACTGTACCTCGAGGTTCTGAAGAGCACAAGCGAAAGGATACGTTCCTCCTCAGGTGATTTCGCAGAGCTCCGAAGAAAAGTCTGTCAGGGAAGAGAGTTCGGTATCCGAGACCAAAGAAGAAGTTATTTGGGATCCGTTATCAGCCTTCGCTGGTGAGAACGCACCGGACCAGGATGATGCCGTTCTCGTCGACAAGGATAGGATCATGGATACCTGGGCAAGCAAGAAAGCCGGAGTATTGTCCAGGTGAACTATGCTTCAGACAATAGGCGGATGCAAAGGCTAGCAACTCGTCCCGAGCCTGAAGGGACCCTTTCCATTCCAGATTCGGTTCCGGATCCGAGAGACTTTCTCTGGCGTCGTCGTATCTTTCAGGGGAGATGCCTTCCCCAGTCACTTCTACCGCTAGGCACGAACAATTGGACACATTCGATGAGGGCACCGTCAAAGAGTTGAAGAATCTCTCGGTGCAGGAATATACGCAGAGAATAATAGAGCTCCGGGGCGCAATGGTCTCGGCATGGCATCGCGATGAGAAGGTATGCAAACGTGGCATTTCGTTTGGCCGCTCTTTTGCCATCTCACGTATTCCCTCATTCGATCGGATGCATCAACATCGATTCGAAAAGAATATCGAGTGCTTTTTCCAGGTGAATGCGCTGAAGATCGTCATTCAGTGTGCCAAGCTGTTGGTGGACGCGGACAACTCCGTTCGTTTCTACCCGGCGAAATTTGTATTGATCGTGGATGTCATCGACATGTTCGGTGAGCTCGTTTACGAACGCTTGCACGTCAAACATCAAGAAAACACCGAAAAAGCCGCAGAGACCGCTCGCAACTGGTTTTACAAGATAGCATCGATAAGAGAACTCATCCCAAGGTTTGATATGGTTTTGAATTCCCTTCGGCAATGAATGGAGTGAATCCCGTTGGCATTCAATGATTCATGTCGGGGGACCGTGCGATCTGAGCCTATTCGGGACAATGCTCTCTTCTTCAGATTTTATGTCGAAGCCTGCATCCTCCAGTCCTACAGATTCCTCGAAACGAAGGGTGTTCAAATGCAACGTTCTCTGTTGCGTTTAGCAAAAACGATAGCCGGCATTGGTGATCCCTTGGTCGCTGCTTACGCCAGATGTTACCTCGCTCGGATCGGGACTCGCATCGCTCCGAACTCCAGGTCTGTTTCTCGGAGTACGGATGATACCCACAGAGAACCCGGTCGGGAGTCGATTGTTGCAACTATGGAGAATCAAACTCATCGCCTCCTTGCAGAGAGCATTTGTCCGAGATGATGTATGGTCTCCTTATCACGTACAAGCAACTCGAGGGATCCGTCATCGAAGAACGACTGAAGTCCGATCTCGTCGATCTTCCGTCATACTACTCATTGTTCACCCCTGCCTTGGAATTTCTGCTGCAGTGCGTGACGCAAACCGCGTCCGAGAAACAACTAGCGGACCTTTTGAACAAATGTACCCAGAGGAACTCGGCCCTTTTATTGAATTCACTTCTGACAGCCCTGCGACCTCAATTCGTGGCGCAAAGGGCGGAAATACTCGTGGAAAAAATTCACGAGTCCGACACAGTCACCACCCCTCGCTGCCAACTCTATAGAAGCTTAGGTTTATGTCTTATGGTCGAGGATCCTCCTGAAGGCGTTCGCGTCAAGGTGAGGCAGTGTGGAGAGTGCCATTTAGCGGGTGGAAGATGTCCCGTGACGATACTTCATTTTGAAGCTTCCCTTTTCCTCTGACAGGTTCTGAATCAAGTGTGGAAGAATGTTGCTCGTTTTAAAAACCCAGCGGATTATATGTCCTGTGCGGAGGTCTGGGTTGACTACGTTTGTCGTCACATGGACTTCACGGATATCAATACGTTCCTCGCCGTAACGATCAAGCAAGTGAGCGTGGACCGCGCCTACGAGCGACACCAGAGTCAGCTGTACGCCGTCCTCGACAGAATAGCGTCAAATGTTCAGGTGATGCTCGAAGATTTTCTGAAACCTCACTGTCAAAAGGAGAATGACATGTATCCGGCGATTGCATCGCATAGCCTTTGGCAAACTTTTTCTCACGTAATCTGCGTCTTTTCAGGACCTGGTCGCTTTGTTCAACATGGACCGTTTACTGCCGCTGTTGGATCTAATTCAAAAAGATCCGTTCCGTACGGACGCGTGCCGATGTCTCCTGGAAATGTTCACGAGACACCAAAAGAGCCCTACTAGCGATACGGCTATCGTATCTTCCCTCATGCACGTTTCGAAAACCATGTTGTCGTCTGTGAACGCGCTGACGCTCGAGGACTCGAGGAAATCGCTCGCCAACATAGTGTGTCGGTTCCTGAATTTGGTCGAATACAACGATGTGGAAGCCCAGTTGGCGTTTTACATCGACGCACGAGCAGCTCTCGCAGCTCTGAATGATATTTTGATCCACTTGATACACTCCGTCAATCGACTCGCGGTCAAACTCGAGAAAAATAGCCATGGCCACCACTCTCGCAAAAGTACTGCTCAGGCCAAGGCCTGCCTGGCCTATTGTCTGGTCACGATTCCATCGGTCTCGGATGTCACGATGAGGTTTGCATCTGTGTTCTCGGGAGACGAATTCTGCGGTCCGGCCCTCACAGTTTCTCCCGGCCCACTAATTCCAATTTCCCTAATTTTTTCAGGTTCAAGCTCTATATGGAATCGGCGAGCGTAGCTTTGAAGAGTCAGTGCTATGCTCACGCTGATGATTGTTATAACGCTGCACTCGATATCCTCCCAAGCATCCCAGAGAAAGACCTGTATTCCTGTGTCACTTCCTTGATCGGTCAACTAGTCTATTCGCCCGATGATCCGCGAGAGGATCCCTTGATTATTTTCGGGCAGCTGCTTCAAACAATCGACGATTATGGGTTTGATCCGCATGCTGACGTCAAAGCCAGAATATGGATTGCGATGCTCCGTGTTCTATCGCGAATGACGAATCCGTGGATGGAAGAGGTGCAACAAGAGTGTAACGACACTATCTACGGCGGCGACGAGAGGCAAGAAAGAATTCCTCTGTGCGCCGTAGCGCGCGTGATGAAATCCCAGGCTGGAGGTCTCATATAAGAACACTGTATCTCGCATTCCAGGTACGTGGAAACGGTCGAGAAGGTCGCCTCCTCGATTCTCACCAAGCTGATCGACTACATTGCCTTACTGAGAGATTCGAAATTATACAAGCGGCAAGGAATTCTCCTCATCGAGCTCATGTATGCCATCGCGAGTCACGGTGGCTTGAACGAGCACGCTCACATGCAGAATCTCTTCGTGAAACTCTGGTGCCTCACGGGAAATCTGAGCTGCATACCGCCGCAGGCCATGGTGTCGCTGAAACATTATGTCGAGATGCGATCCACCACCAAAGATCTAATCGCCAAACTCACTTGAAATTGCAAATATTTGGTTCGGCCTACCGGCTTTGATTTTCACAGCATGTAAATACAAAAATCTGACGATTCTGAAGAATGACTCCTCATTCCTCTCCATGGCCCACCGGATGCTCTGGAAATGAGCGCTGCAGCTGCCCTAGCCGACTCGGAGGGTCGGGATTACTCGGATTTTCAAAATTTGGCGCGCTCGGAACATATGCTGTACCCAAACAGCTGATTGCCATCACAGTTTCTCTCGTTCAGTCCCCAGTCCCCAGTCTGCAGCCTGAATCGTGCTCCGCTCAACGAGAGGATATTAGTAAATAACGGGCGGCTCCTGATGACTGAGGGACAAATTATTGGTGGAGAGCCGTGAAATCATCAGTCCCGGCATCGTGAACACCCTTTACGCGGGCGAAGTCGCTCCTCTCGATGTGGGTTTGATTTCGGAGTGAGAGAACCGAACTGAGTGAGAATCATGCCCTGTGCCGTCAGCAACTTCGAACAAGCGTACGTGTACATTTGATCTTCTTCGACTCTTTCATATTCTCTCTTGGAGGGGTAGCTTTCTCGAAAACACAGAGTCGGTATCCACGATCGCGTTCATAGTTCTCTGAAATGCTTTCCGCAAAGCACCTCCGTAAATTCCCGAGGTGCTCACTGCTTCCAATCAAGCCCTGGAAAGCACCCGAAATCTATCGGGGCGAAAGAAATCCGGGGGGTGATCAATATCTAGAACGCGCTGCTTTAGCCCTGAGAAGTCACCCACGATTTCTTCCCGAAGGTGCGGGAACGAGTCGAGAAATCATTGGAGGGAGAAATCTCTTCCTCAAACTTCTCCTCCTTAGTTGAATCGAAATTGGATCCGCGGTCTGCAGTCCGCACTGTTGATCCGAATCTGCACACGGTGACAGTCTAGCCGTCTAGCCAACATTTGATCGGACGAGTTTTCTATTTCGGTCGGGATCGAATCGCGAAAGGCGTCGTTTGGATGAGTCGAACAGCGTCGAGCCCTGATTCCCGAAATCACGTCTCGTCCGACGCTCTCGGGCTTCGAAGAAGACGTTTCTCAACGGATAAGCCGAGATTATCACGCGTGACCCGGAATGGGTGTAAATCATCTCATAGAGTTGAGGAAGTTCAATTCACGTTTCCTGCCCTTCGCGCGATCCCGAGGAGGCTTTGCACTCTGCACTTCAGAACTGAATGTGCCTCTGAAATAATGTCCACTCGTACCAGAGGCACTTCGTTCGGAGATCCCCATACATTATTGAATGAGGGGTTGGCTCGAATTACGGGAGATGAAAGATTATAGTTGGGCTTACCGAATTCTTACCGCAGTTGAGTCATGCTGACTTGGAATTATTCTCTCACCGATGTGGTCATCGCCGTTCTCGGCATCTGCGTGGTGTTCAACTTGCTCATCCTCATGATGAGATCGCTAAGGAGAGCCGCAGCGGGATCTGGGGGCTCGTCAGTAGTCTTTGTGAAGAACCCGATATTGGAAACCCAAGTTCAGAGCTTGTCGACTCCAGCAACCGTGTACGACATCAAGGATTTAGGGGACAAGACTGTTGAGCTGGATATCCGGAGCCACAGGGAGCACTGCAAGTTCGTTGCTTATTGGGGCGTCCCCATCAAGGTAAGAGTCCGTAGGGGCCGTACTTGGCTTGCGTCTCCCTGTGCCGGATGAAAATCGGAGGTCGGAATAAGAATTGTCCACGCAGACTGAGAATTGTTCTACGCAGCCAATCTTTCCAGGACTTCCCATGGAGTGATGCAGAGCCCCCTCATCAGCATAAAGAGGAACTCTTGTTAGGATACGTAGGATCGCATCGACTGCAATTGAACGTCAAGGATTGCGAGCTGGGGGATCAACCCAGGACACATTATCATCTGGTGACAGTGATCTCTGCGCCGGAAGCCGAGTCTATGTTGTATTCAATCTATCACCTATACGGCTGCAGTTTGAAGACGAGTTTGCTGAAGCAATATCTGAAGTCTGAATCCGGGTCGATGCTCGCGGTGAGGTCGATTTTCAATGAGAGCCGATGCGTGATCTGTATGGATGCGCCGGCGACCTTCACACTCCTACCCTGCAGACACTCATGCGTTTGTCGTAGTTGTTTGCCACACATTCAAGAACAGTGTCCGATTTGTAGAGTTTATGTGCAGAGTTACTTCGTGACGAGTCCTATTGATACGGAATAGCTACAACAAGAAGGCGGTCCGACATCTCGATGAGCGGCCTGTCCGCTTGAAGCAGTCACATAGCCCGGACTCTCCGAGACATTCTCCGATCTCAAAGGTTTGGTAGGGTCGTTCGTTCCCAGTCACTCTGATTGTTACCTCTAATTTTTACCCAGTGCGATTAACTTCATATCATATTCTCTGCCCTCCGCACTTCATCTGCTCACGAATCCTATGGGAAGTGTGTCGCGCCGAGTCCTTGTAGTCTCTGCCCTATTCGTCTTCCCTGTGCTTCGATTTGAGAGCTGATTGAGATCTGAGAGATATTTGCAGGAGATTCATAAGAGGGGTGACAATAAAATCTTGCGTTTGTTCACTCGAGTGGGGGAAACTTCTTGCGGTGATCATGTGACTTCGTCCAACTTCCGATGGGTGAATGTTCTCCGCACACAGCCGATCCTTCTCTCGGGAGCTGGCGGTGCTTATGCTTACGCTCACGGCTGGGGGGGTGGAGGCCGGCGCTGTATGGCTATGCGATGACCGCGTCGGATACATCACTCGAGTGACGACAACGACCGTTCGGAGACTCCTCGAAACCGTGTGAGTCCCACAAGAGCGTCGTTCCAGAGCAGATATTCTTCTGGAACCTCCAAGAAACAGAGTATCTTCCGCTCTCCCCTCGAAAAAGCAAAGCAAAGATATTTCGTCCTTTCGAAAGCGACACGGACTCCACTGAATCGATCTCGAGCCCCCTGTGTACGGGACCGTCCAGCTCATCCGTACATAGTGACCCCTCATTTCATGATACTATAATATAATCATTGTCATCGAGCATCATTCGTGGAGTACTCGGATGAGCGGCAGCATGCCATATCGACTGATTCGGGCATCCCAGTCATCGTGGAATCACGTTCGAGAGTCCATTAGGCGATGCGAGACTAGACAGCGACGTCCCACTTCGGGCTGCATAATTGACTACTCACAGAGTTCACACAACAGAGAGGAAGTATCTTCTATATTTCGTGGTCTCGAGAAATCGATGTCTTTTTTTTTACAGGAAGGTTCGCCGACATGAGGGTCATCTTACACCCCGAGAGGGCCGCTGAATAATTTAAAACGATAAGGATGCAACTCTCCGTAAATTTCACGTCCTGTTATACAATCGATCTCATGATCTATGGATCGGCTTGACCGGAAGGAGGGAGGGCTAGGCTCTCCGTGGTCGCAGGTGCCGCTTGAGGACCCGGCTGCTGCTGCTGCTGTTGTTGTGCATGTTGCTGTTGTTGCTGCTGCTGCTGCTGCTGTTGTTGATGCTGCTGTTGTTTGATGCTGCTGATGCTGCTGCTGCAGTTGTTGTTGTTGCTGCTGCTGCTGTTGCTGCAGCTGCTGATGCTGTTGTTGTTGCTGTTGGGTCGGTACTCCCTGAGGCGACATCTGCGGCATGTTTCCCGGGTGAAGCTGAGGGTGAGGCTGCATATGATGAGGCATGCCTGGATGGGGAGGACCTTGCATTGAATGAAGTTGATGCGGATAAGCTCCGTACGGGGAATGCATTACGGTTCCTGGAGGAGGACCATATTGATGATGGGGAGGCATATGGGGCGGGTATCCCTGATGGTAGGGGTTTTGCAGGTGCTGAGGGTGGCCCTGTAAGTGGGGTGGCAAGCCCGCTTGCATGTGATGACCCGGATGCCCTTGAGGCGCTTGATGGGGACCTGCATGTTGTCCTGGATGTCCCTGTGAGACTGGGATTTGCCCTGATTGTGCCTGTGGGGATTGAACCGGTGGTGTGGGACCTTGAGACGATACAGGTGGGTGTCCCTGAGGATGTGCAATGACTCCAGGATGACCTTGAGGAGGGGGCAAGGAGCCAAGATGAGTTTGGGGCGAAGGCGCCGAACCAGGATGTGCCTGCGGGGATGGAGTTTGGCCGGGATGGGCTTGGGGTGATGGAGGCGGTCCAGGATGGGTTTGCGGAGACGGTGCTGAACCAGGATGGCTCTGTGGTGAAGGAGCTGCGCCCGGATGGGGCTGACCTTGGTGAATAGCGCTAGGATGTCCCGGATGTCCGCTGAAAGCGCTGTGGTGTCCCGGTGACGGGGCTGGGGAAGGGTGCGGAGTATTCGGGTGGTGACCCTGTGGCGGGGGAGGAGGAGGCGGAGGAGGAATGGATCCAGGATGTCCTTGGGGAGCGGGGGCGCTTCCCTGGAGATTCGGCGGACCACTCATATGCCCTTGCGGAGGAGGTCCGGGAGCTGGATGGCCCTGCGGAGATGGATTTGAACCCGGATGGGATTGAGGAGTCGGACCCGCACCTTGATGACTCTGATGAGCTTGTGGTCCACCAGGATGAGTTGGGGGTGTTTGTTGTTGCTGCTGTTGTTGTTGCATCGCTCCTTGGATACCGTGAGGGGGCCCAGCCGTCAGATGCCCCTGGGGAGCTTGAAGAACGCCCGGATGATTCTGGGAGGCTGGCAAGGCGCCCGGATGTCCCTGGGAATGCTGAAGCGCGCTCAAATGACTCACGGGGACTTGCACGACGCCCGGCATCGTGCCTGGATGAGTTTGGTGCGGCGGCATTTGGCCCGGATGAATTTGAGACGGTAGCGTCACTGGGTGTCCCTGAGGGTGCTGAATGGTTGTGGGATGGCCTTGGGAGGATTGTATTGCTCCAGGGTGTGCTTGAGACGAGGGTGCGGACCCCATGTGACTGGGCATTTGCTGACCCGGGCCTGGGTGTCCCATGTGACCAAGCGGATGCGAGACGGGACCTGGAAGTCCCGGACTGGGTGCAACTCCTGGATGTCCCTGAGGCGGAGCGTTCCCTGGATGTCCTTGCGGCGGAGCATTCCCTGGATGTCCTTGCGGCGGGGCATTACCCGGATGTCCTTGCGGCGGGGCATTTCCCGGATGTCCTTGCGGCGGGGCATTTCCCGGATGACCTTGCGGCGGGGCATTTCCCGGATGACCTTGCGGCGGGGCATGTGTCTGGGGCGACGGTGCGCTGCCTGGGTGTCCTTGCGCAGGAGCTCCGCTCGGAGGACCCTGAGGTGGAGCACTCCCGGCGGGTGGCTGGCTTGCCGCGGCATTGCTCGCGAGACCTTGCGCAGATGGTGCTACACCTGGCTGACTTTGGGGTGAGGGGGACGCACCGGGATGAGCTTGCTGAGCTCCATGAATTGCCGGATGGCTTTGTGGGGGCTGACCCCCTGAGTGGCCTTGCGGGGGCGTCCCTTGATGTCCTTGCAGAGGCTGAAGGTTACCTCCGACCTGTGACGTGGGTATGACTCCGGAGTGTCCGGGAACTGCCTGAACTACCCCTGTATGAGCCTGCGACGTCGGAATCATGCCGGGATGAGGTACTTGGACCACACCTTGAGCCACCGGAATCCCCATAGGATGATTTTGTGGACCCGGGACGAGGTTGGGACCTCCTGGCGCTGCCTGCCCAGGCATCCCAGGGGTGACCTGACCTTGGGCGTAATGCGGAAAGCCGGGATGCCCTTGAGCGATCGGTGGATGCTCTTGGGAATGTCCGGGGGCACCCGCGTGCTGATACTGCACCAAATGGGGCGTCTGAGGGGACGGCTGGTACTGCGCAGACGTCGCATGGGGAAATTGCGCTTGAGAGGGGGGCTGCGCTGAGCTCGGTTGCTGGGCAGCTTGAGCTGCGCCAGTTTGCTCGTTATTCGTCGACTCGTTTGACGGATTCGGCGGGGATTGGGATGTCGGTACCGCCACAGCCGCACTCGGAGCCGCGGACTCGTCCTGGAAAGCCAAAAGGTTAAATGAGTACCAGCCGCGTCGTACATTCACCGTCGAATGTCCAGCTGTGTCATGGGAGCACTCATCATACCATAGGAGTTGGCTCTGCGGGAGCGTTTGATCCGGGAGGCGTAGGGGTCTTGCCTCCTGTCTCCATTTTCTCGGCGAGCTGCTCGGGAGTCTTTTCACTCTCAGGTGGAGCCGCTTCTGTCGGAGGATTTTCATTGGCCTTTACCTTTTCCTTCTCTGCCGCTGCTGCTGCTGCGGCGGCCGCGGCAGCTGCTGCAGCTGCCTCTGTGACAATAGAAAATAGGAAACTTTAGTCGACTGCGCGTCGGTTGAGCCACATGATGTACTAGAATGAAGTGCGAGCTTACCTCCATTAGGAAAGTGCGTTCAGTGGTTTCTCATAAATCAACTCTCAAGCAACGACATGCAAAATGTATTTTGAGGATTAATAGGGTTTTCAACCGAGTTCGAAGGCCTCTTGATACGACAACTCTCGATCAAATCTTATTTCCCGCGGTACTTTTCACAGTAACGATTCGTGCAGATCTCCATCTCGTCTCTCGAGATCGGATCAAACACAGATTCCGAGCTAGGTAGCCGTTTCAGTGTCTCAATCAAAAATCTAGCCATCACTCAAGCTCGGAAAATAACAATTGCGTAACATATTTTGTTAGATTATTGTGTTATTGATTGATTAATCAAGAAAATCATCACCAGTCTTTGATTCGCATATGTACAGGCATCTTATGAGCGACATGCTTCGAAAACTGCGCTACCGAACGCATTCATGATTGTCATCCTGTCCTGGCTACTTCCATGCATCGATCTCTCATGAGGACAATCCGTACCCTTTTCGGCGCGTTCCTTCGCTTCTCTTTCCTTGTCGAGCTCAGCTTGTTTCGCCTCCTCTTCTGCACGGATGGCATCCTCCTTTTGTTTTTCCTTCAAAGCTTCCAGAGCTCGGTCGACCATTTTCTGATACGCCTCTTGATCAACAGCTTTCACTGTTCGCTGGAATTGAGCAAATTTAACTGTGAGTTCATTCTGGATACTTGCTCAGGAGTAGATGAGGAAAATTTACGCAAGATCGCTCGTGCTCGGATCGGGTCCTCACAAATACTTGGATCGGCGCCCTTCGATCCAGAGGTTCGTTGACATTCAAGAGCTGAACGGAACCTCGAGGTCGTTTACCTTTTTGAGCTCGTTATTGAAGACTTCGCTGGCCTCCATGAATTTCTGCTTCTTTGCACTGAATTTCTCTTCTATTTGTTGAAGTTCGGTCTCGAGTTTCTCTTGATGCATTGTTAGAGACTGAACCTGCCGCTTCAGAACGGCCATGCGCTGCGTTGTCACGACGGATCTGGAGATACTCGGTGGTAAGCTCGGAAAATCGAATACTGCTTCGAATCTCAGTGTATTTTCGCCACAGGAGAAACTCTCCGACATGCGCCGTCCGATTTGAATCCCACTCACCGAACGTCGGGGACCACAGCATCGGAGAAAATTTCGTGAATGAGGCGATGATTCCGCATGTATCTCGAAGCAGCCAGGTGTTTCACCGATAACTCGTCCGTGTCATCGTCGTCTTCAGCCGGTTGTATCGAAACCTTGTTGGCATCCTTCGAAGAGTACTGCAGAAACGATTATCGCTTTAAGATTCATGGTCAGAATCAGCCATCCCATGAGCCATCCATGATTTCGCCGGCTAGAGAACTCGGATATTCGTGTCGTCAGTATTTGCGACGATCTTGTGGAATTTCAGTGACGATCTGTCCTTACCCCGCCCCGACCTAGCTTCTCGTTTTGTTCACGCTCCTCGGCCGCTTGTTGGGCACGGACTTTGTTGGCAACGTAGCTCTGATAAGCGGGGGAGCTGTGATAGTTCTTGAGATTCTCATTGTACTCCGCTTTCTCCTGCTCGTAGTCATCGATGTACACCTGTTTGCTCTCCTCTGGAAGCTCCTTCCACATCTGACCGATGAGCTTGCCGACGTCCCATAACTTCATGTCAGGGTTCTGAGCCTTCACTTGGTCCCATACTTTTCTCGAGTACCTCAGGTAGGGCATCAAGGGCTTCTCGGGGGGCTTCGGAGCTTTAGGAACTCGTGAATCAACCTGGAAATTTATTCTCTGCGTGATGTATTCGGCTATCTATCCAAATGGTATACTCGTGAGAGATTATGCACTCTTATAAGTCGGTGAGTGTCGAACGAGAGCGCTGACCACGGAAAAACCGCGTCCGAGAAGCTAGCGAATCGAGCCACTGACCTGTGTGGCGGCTCTCGTGCCGACTTTCAGGGGAATAAACTGCGAATGACCATGGCCCGTATTCACAAAAGGACTGCCCCCCATCGTCACGGGTCTCGAACTCTGCCGCTCTGTAACAAATATGTCAGATGAGAGGATGTTCTTCTGCGATTAGCCACTGGAAGCGCGAGGAGCTTATCACATTTATGGTAGGAAATAGCTCGTCGTCGAAGTTCAAGAGCTGCTCGCTTCGACGCGAAGTTGTTCAACTCACGCTGCATTTGAACATTCTGACTCATTAGGTACTGCTGCTGGCGGAACGGAGGAAGGGCCATCGTGTTTTCGCACGGGTCGTCTCCGTATACGAGCACAAATCACAAAAGTCTCCGTTATAATACCGGCAGATCCTCGACAGTATTGTTTGGCGTCACCGTGCTGCCGATGATGATCTTGCCTGAGATGGTGTTACAACAAAGAATAACATGGAGGCGCCGGTACCGCGCGCGCCTTCTCCCCCTTCGAATTCGAGAGGAGCCTATCGCGAGTCGTCTGCTGAGAACTATTTCGGCGCCAATCCTTCAAACGGCTTGGACAACGGGAGGAGAGCGAGCTCACGAAACGAAACGAATGCACGAAACAATGCACGGAAAAACTTCGGAATTCCGAAAGACTCCGGAAATCACAGCTTCATGGAGATTCTCATGTGATGCCACTGCCGAATGCTCTTGAGATACCATGCTGATACTTCGGAGTCGGTATCTGACAGACATTCGAGATCATCCGCATTACGCGAACCCAATCGGAATGCTATCATGGGTCCGAAAAATCGTTCAACCTGATGGGCCCGATCCGCATGCGGGAGTCTCCCGAGGCTGCTGGTTCCCAGTTATCCTGTCTCTTCTTTCGACCCTCGCTCCACGATTCGCGGGATGCTCATCCGGGAATACTAGATAAAGCCCACGCATACTCACTCGAATTTCGAGATCGGAGTCAGAATGTACAGGGTTGGACTTTTATACACGGGTTTATTCTCTATGTATTTACAATATGAACAAATAAATATATGCATCGCTGAATCTACTCTCTGTAACCGTAATTAGCTCACGACGCTACGAGGATCAACTTTCTTGCACTCCAGCAGGCGCTCCTCGGTATCCTCCGCCCTCCGCTTTAGCGTGACCTTCTGTCTTCAGACTCCTCCCGTAACCGTGTCCGCCGATGAGACCGAGCCCCCCGAAATCACCGCCGTAGCCTCCACCGTAGCCTCCGCCATAAACTCCGCCGTGACCTCCGCCATAACCTCCGCCGTTGCCACCTCCGAAACCGCCATCGTAAGCGCCAACCAAGTTTCCTCCATAGCCTGATCCGAGGGTCTCTACGCCTTTAGCGAAGCTGTTCCCATAAGCTCCGCCGTAACCGGCACCCAAGTTTCCTCCGTAGCCTCCTCCGTAGGCTCCGTGTCCCAGACCGAGTCCGTGTCCGTAAGAACCGCCCAATCCACCGAGTCCGCCTCCGAAGCCTCCACTGTGGACAGGCTTGTGCGGTACGGGCAGAACCGAATGTTCGTGATGGTGATTATGAATGTGAACTTGGCCAGGTCCTCCGCTGCAAGACACGCATCGATAAATATCTTCGACTTTCACGATCCACCGCGACAATCTCGGTCACGGAGTCAATCACTCGAAGTTCTTATGGATACTCACTGTGCTCCGCCGAAGCCACCGTAACCTCCCTTATGCTTATTGAAATGAGAAGCGACAGCGGCTCCTGTCAGAAACCCTCCGGCAAATCCAGTTGCACCAGCGGCACCGGCAACGACACCTGGAACGAAGCCGTTCTGGAAATCGTGGTCGAGCATGCTTCAATTTGCAAGAGCTCAGAGTCTTCCATCGATGTCAACTCACCGCCGGCAGCGAGTTTTTTCTTCACTATTTTCCCAGCATCGATCACGTTCAAACACATTGCCACGCACAGAACGACCCAGAGGGTTGACGTCGATCGATTCATATTGAGCTTGTTTCTGGCCACTTCTGTTGTGTTTGTCTATGTCAAATACTTACATCTGGCGAATCAACCGCCTTTTAAAGCCCCAGCCTTCATGGCGAAGAAACCCTTGCCAAGCGGGTTTCCCCCACGGTATCCGATTCGCATCTTTCGCTGAAAGCTTCTGTGGTGGTCAAGGTTCGATCGGGGAAGCCCAGATACGTAGCATTCAAAGCTACTAGGATTGCTCTTCCGAAGTGATCGTATTGTGAAACTGAAAAAAAAAGTCACTCTAGCGAAGAATGATATCAATCAAGCACGACATGTAACTGTTGGAAAACTCCGGACTCGAGGGAAATAAATCAAAACACCTCCCACCACAGTAAGCCGCTAGATGACCTTCCTTGAACCTGTGCTGGCCATCGTCAGAAGAGGAGCGGTAGGCGAGCTGACACTCCGTTGGGTGTTGGGTCCCGTGTCTATCGGGTTCATTCAAGATGGTGGTGAGTACTGACGTCGTGGCATTGAAGTCGAAGCTTTTGTGGACTACGCCCGTTTCGTAATAGCATGGAATACCGTTATCAGCCCCATCAATAACCAGATTTTTCTGCAGTCCTTACAAGGGACTCATTTCAAATCTACCAAACGGAATAAACCGCATCAGAAAACTCGTCGATGAATGATTCAATGAGATGCTCATTTATTGATAAGTTATCGAGCAAGAGCTTCAGATTGAATTCGTCGCGCGAATGAGCCTCCTTCTGCCCCCTCCCACCGCTCTAAAGTGCTCGAGCTGTTATTCTCCTATATGGAGCATCGCGTGGCATCCCCTTTCGGGTCTGTAATAATTCGACCACCAGCGAGTTGCGGTCAGAGTCTAGACACCTCTGTGAAAGCACTCTAAAGAGCTCGGCGGAGAGGCTCATCATCAGCGACGGGCGTAATTGACAAAATCTAAAGCAGCGGCGTGATCTCGACCGTGAATGAGATCATAGTCGAGGCCTTTCTCACAAGGATATGATTTTCTTCCGAATCATATTCACGATCCATGACGTGAGTTGAGCCCGTCGTCCATCTCTATTGGGTGTCCGATGAGTGGATCTCGATTTCGAGACAACGTGGCTCGCTTGAGCGATATGATCGATCCTCGAGGTCGACGAGATGATTTTCGGCTTCTTGTACAGATCGGATGCGACCCACATCATTCTCCCCAAGCCCGGAGCTCAAGGGATCCACTGCTGAATTTGCGATCGAACGTTCGAGAAGTCTATCTGCTCTTTGTCGGGGAATATGCAAGGCAGGCTCTCAATGATCGGATCGAGAACCGAGGCCAGGAGCGAGGCGATGAACTTCGCTCCATCGACATTGAAGTGAAGACCGTCCAGCATCAACGATCGCCAATCCTGCAGGAGAATATGGATCTTAAGTTCCTAAACAACTCCTCACGAGCGGTTGAAGACTAACTCAGAACTCACATCTCTGGCCTTCATAGCAGCACAGACATCCACCAGCAGAGTCCCATTACGAGAAGCAACTTCCGCGCAACGTCGAGCGTAATCCTCGCACAAATCTTCTCCGCGACCCACTTGGCTCTCCAAGACACCATCCTTAGCTTTGTGGGCGACCCAAGCCTTGTGATCGTACTTCGGAGGGGTCAGGAGGACCACCCTCTCTCTGGGTATTCCGACGGTCTACGAGCGGAAGAATGGCACTCTCAGTGCTGTGAATTCCAATCCCGGGGAGCCTCGGCTCGTTGCAAGAATTCAGGTTTTGGGTTCCAGGAAACAGCCAATCGGCGGATCGCCTTTCCAGGACGAGGGCTCGGAAGCTCGACTCACCGCGGCGTGATTCATTATGGACTTCAAATTCGACTCATAGTCGTCCAACGGGACATGCTGTGGGGCTTGCGGAACGCAGCAGTCGTTGGCACCGAACCAGATGAGCATGACGTAGGGAGCTGGAGCTCCTTTTGGGAGGAGTCTCGGCAAGAGGCAAGTAGCCTGCTCGGAATTGTAAGCGCTGAATCCTCTGTTCAGCACGTCCACTTTCCTGTTGATTACGAGCTTCCAATTTAGGATAATATATTGAAATCATATAGGGGCCGTCAGAAGCGGAGTCGGGGACATCTTCTGCAGGGAGAAGCATGGGTGGGAAAGAGAAGCCTAAGACTCAGCTCCCGTATATGATTTCACTGACACCGGCACCGACACTGAACGTCGCCATTCGACCTCAGATTCTGATCGGTCTGAACCGCGAGCCCTGAGATCCCACCTCTGATATCTGGATGCCAACATGGCACCCCAGCAACCGTCCTCGGTATTGAAGGAACGCTGAAAGAAATAATTCGAATGCTTACAGGGACTTTGTGCAATCGAATCCACGTATCCCAGATTGGAAACTTCATGTATCCTCCTCATCAGCCAATTTCGACATCTTCTCGCACGCTTCGTATGTGGAGAAGTTCTCGCTTGAGGAGAAATAGGCTCAAGCAAGCCTCTAGCTTCGTACCTGGGTCAATGAATCGCCGAAGCAAAACAATGCTGGGAAATCCACGCGTGACATTCTCAGAGCCGACCGGAAAATTCTCGCGGTAGGACCGCACATAAGCCGGGTCTCCGGAATATGAAGTGAGACGGATGTATAAGCACAAAAATCAGCGAAAGTATGCGGCGCTCCAGATCGAAGAGTACTATGGCCATGAACATCAGCTGTTCGAGTGTTTTCGAACGGAAATTCCCCCTCTCCCATCCTGGCTCAAGGCTCCGCGCGAAAAGTTCCCCGGGCTGGATTCGCCTGACAGGGCCGATCCCGATTACCTCTGATCTCATTCAGGATCCTACGGTCGACCTGCGCACGCACCTCAATCCGTCAGGGAATTCGAGGATGCTTACGTTTCCTTTCAGGAAACTAGCGAGCAACACGACTTGAAAATTGAAACATGGCACAGGTAGAATTACGTGGGGGAACCTCTCCTCACTCCTCCGTGCATGGAAACTTTTCAGATGATCGTCGGGAGAAGCATGGGAACTTCTCTCTGCGGAGGGTTTCCGGAGTTGATCGCTCGACGCAATTTCCACCGACTTCCGGAAGCTTGTTCCTCCCTCAGCACGTGCTCCCCGAGATTGAGGGAAGAAACAGAGAGCAAAGCGAGAAAAAAACGAAATCTTGCGATGAATCCTTTCATTCGGTCCTCTGGACATTTATTCCGCATATCGGACGCGAGTGTTCCATCGTGCTCGGGAAATGATCAGAATAGGATGTATGTGTGGCCAGAGCTCTTACAGGTAATCCGCAGGTCTGATATTGTCGAGGTGACCTCCTGGAGGAGCTCGAATCCCGTACATATACGGAAGAGAGATTCCTCTCCACAAATTCAGATGCCGCTCACCCTGGCAGCGAAACTCGCGCGACTGTGATTCCGGAACAAGCTTTGAGATCCTTACACAGTCTCCCGTTTTTTCCCCCAGCATTGCGCCCGCTCAACTGTGCGGAGGCCATTTGATCGCCAGAAGACGTATGCATACAGGACAAGACGAGCCACATGATAGGTGGTGATCTCCCCCGATTCGGGCGACACGCTCACACCGATGCAATTACCTGCTTCTCATTGCTCATGTCTGGACATTTAAGCATGGCTGTTTCCTCAGACTGATCTCACGTCGTCTATCCGGGACTAGTTGACCGCTGTAAACTTCTTTTCCGTAAGCAGTGGCGTCTGAAGCATTTTTCTTATATGGGGGCTAGCTCATGGGGATTCAAGCCCCTTATCCCCCCCCCAGCGGACGCGCCTGTCCGTAAGACTACTAAATTGGTTGCCTTGGTGTCAAGAGAAAGCCAGCATCTCGCGGAACTTAGGCAGATTTTCCGGAGTGAGCGATTTCGCCAGCCGACGAAGCCTCGCTTCCAGCCAAGTGTTGGACGGAGAGTTCACGAGGTACCCAGGTACCATGCCCATCAGCTCCCGGCTCAATGTCACAAGTCCTGACTCGTCGCTTTTCGAGTAGAACACTTTCCTCAGAACTCTGGCGGTCAGACTATCCACGTTTATGACACCGATGTGGAATATTTTGCCCGACTCATTGAAAGTGTCGGTCCATGCGAAGTAAATCGCTCCACCGACGTCGTAGAAGCGGAAGTGCGACTCTTCATAGACCCCCTTCGAAGACGTGGATGAATCCCGGGCTCTCCACTCGCGAGCGTCGCCGCGTTTGAATCTGGGAAATCGGAATTCGTGTATGTTTACTCTTCCTCTGATATCATAGGCCAAAGAGCGATTGTGAGTCTGATCTGCGTTTCGGACTGACGCCAAAATTTCTCGGACAGTCCTCCCTTGAACTCACTTGTTCGAGTACTCCGTCTCGAATAGAGAAGAAATTTCGGATAGTTCGCATATGTTTGCTTTTCCGGCTTCAGATGTTTTGAAGTGATTGCTCACGAGGTCGAAAACTCGAATCACGTCCTTCTGTCTGTAACGTGGAGCTTTTGCGTAACACAACGCATAAATGAAAACCAGAGAGCCTCTCACAATCATGTCCACACAATGCACTTGTAAATCATCTTCGGCAATCATGTGTTTTCGCATTTTTCCGGTTCCTGAATCGACGACTACGAATGAGTCTTTAGTGAGAATCAGAATCTCATCGCCGTGGAGTGTCGCGACGACGATATCGACGATCTCGGTCGGTATGGGAACTTCATTGAACGTTTTGTTGATTTGAGGCAGAGCTTCGAAGTATCCCAGTCGGTGTCTCCTCTTATTTTTTTCTCCAGAATTGCGAAGCTGAGAATCAGGCGGGAACCGTCAACGCTAAGGCGCTTATCACTAATCTCTTGCTTGAAGTTGAAGGGGATTCTGCGGTGGGGCAACCGTATAAGGTCATTGTCGTCACTCAGAGAAAAGCCCTGCAGGTTGATGTTGGTCGATGGGAATACTTCGTCTTTGACGTTCGCGTACATTGTGCTCCCGATGGTGACCTGAAAACGTTCGGGGCTGCCCTCAGTCAGTATGATGTCGCTATGCTTCACCAAGGGATCGGAGATGGGATTTCGTTCACGCGATACCGGACCATTTCGAAACTCTCCGGGAGCTCCAGCTTGTCAAAGTCGGTGTTCAGTTTGAGCTTCGCATAAGCATGGGCTTTCTCTTGACGGTTGAGGCGGGAACCGTTGAGTATCAATACGGACTTGCCTTGGGGTAGCCTGCAATTACTTGACTTCAGCGGAAGAAAGCTCGTCTCCGCCGACGTCGGATAATCTTCTTTGCAGCGCCGAGCGCCATTATCTAGGAAAATCTTGGGATAAGATTCCGGGTCTCAACCTTTTCTCTATCCAGAGCACATATGCCTGAGGCGCCAAGCATCGCTTAGTCAATTGCGCGATTGGAAAATCTATGTCGATGGAATCATCAAGGAGTCTGATCCTGGCGAGGTTCGGTATTCGGCTCGCTTCAGCGCCGGACGCCGACAGAAAATCCTCAATCTATTCGAAGAAGAAGATTTCCCGCATGAGCTATCTTCAGTTATTCGAACCTGAGATGTGACATGTGATCCGAGACCTTTTGATTACCTTCTGTATCTCGGAGAGATGGAGTTGAGGGAAGCGGAGCTCGTTCAAGAGTTGCATTGATTCCTCGATCGGGGGCTTGGTCAAAGCCAGGTACCGCAAGACCAATTCAGCGATCTTGGAGGATAGTTTCTGATTTAGAACTATTTCCAGGTAGCTCATGGAAAGCATAATTTCTTCGGATTCTGGGAGTACAGATGTTTTGTTTGCCTCACTTCAGTTTCAGATTCAGCGACCGCTCCATGTTCCAGAACGCCTTTCACTAGTGAAATCGGAGCGGATTCCAGGAGAGTCGTGGGGAACTTTGGCGAGCATATGCATTCGCTGAATTCTTGAACAACCTTCGTTTCGAAACAGGTTATGCCGAACTCTTTGCCTTCAACGAGAGAAATTCACTTCCCTTGAATCGGAAGTGAGGCTGATTTTCCAAATGGAGGATGTTAACAAGATAATCGAATCGAAGCTTTCAATTTTAAAGTATCTAGGAGCGAGGCGAAGTATTCACTAACCCAAGTTGAAGAGCAAGATAGCACTCTGTCGCTGAAAATCGAAAGCTTGGTCGATACCATCCACCAGACTGCCGAGCTTGAAACGAACGGCGTGCGTCAAGGCTTTCCGTAGCGTCGTGATATCATCGATTTCCAGTTTACCCTTATACATATAGTTCAAGAGTAGAACAGTGTCCTCCTTCGGCACATCCTGGATCGAGTGGAAGCATACCCGAATGAGAAAAGCTCAGACGTGTAAGATAACTCCGGCTGACCGAATTCTGTCAGAATCATGGAAGCAGTATTCGCTCTTGAATTCACGGCAAACCTTGATAGCGATGTCTGACATCCCGTTCTTGAAAAGGGCGCCGTAATGAGCAAGCATGTTCTTGTTGACACCGCCGACGTTCTTTTTCTTCTTACCGCTCGCTGAAGCGCGGAAGAGGATTAGGAACCTGTTTAAATCTTACTTACAAGGATCCATAAGTTCCTCACTCATATTGCGTCAGAGCTCACCTTCTTCGATAGCTTCCACCACCGAATCGAAGCCTTGCGTCTCACATGTCTGGATGATCATCCTCTTACCCAATGAATGGGGAGATCCCGTGAACTTCATCAACGGGTGCTCCGATCTCCGCTCTTCTACCAGAACCTCACCCGGAATCTTCACGTAAGGACTCAAACCCGGGGGCGCCATCTCACCGAAGTTCGGAATATGACTCGAGGAGAGTCCAGAGTCTCTGATGAGTGGAGCGCTGCACTGTTTTTGTCAAAGTCGTGATTCGACGAGCTTCGAAGCTTCGTTGGTCTTCGAGATCTTCCCGAGTCCCGGGTCCCGAGTTTGTATTTCGGGATGGAACCCTCGCCGAATTTTTCCGGGCAAAGCACGCGCTTCAGGTGTTCCTGCGACGAGGGCGACACGGAACACACTCGATCGGTGATGAGATCAGTCTTCTCGAGACTAGGGACCACCGTCGCAGATGAGAGCTTAAACTCTGACCTCGCCAAAGTGAGCGGCAAGAAGGTTGAGCCCGGCATGATGAATACTGTCGCGATTCACGGCCTTCCCCACGGCTATGAGCTGTTCGTCTGATCTCGTATCCTTGGCCTATCTCGCATAGGTACTTGCCGTAAGCATGAATGGATACGTCAATGATCAGAGGAAATGAGCCACCTCGCGGGGCGAGATGCATCACGAGACGGTGATGGTTCCGAATACCGTGACAAACGAAATCCGAGCAGAGAATCTCTTCGGGGTCCCTCGACGCTCGGGATAAGCGGGCCCTCTCGAAATACGTAGTGTGACCGTCGGTCAAATCTCTCTCTATCACGTGACGAGCCTTCCGCTTGAGATGCTTCCCCACCACGACACACCGGCTCTGTCGATAACGCGCTTAGAGTTTCCGAACGATTTCCAGACTTCGGCCTCGAGCGCTTTTTACGAAATATGCCAAGAGCTTCTCCCTCGCCAACAAAGTGACGTCACATGACCATAGACAGCATTTGAATCCATCCGGAAGGACTCGGTAGAATCCTGATCCTGAATCCAACGAGTTTTTCCTGCGCAGGAAGGTCTCCAGAATCCACGATCAATTCTTGGACTTCTGAGCAGATAGAAGTCGTCAAGAGGGAGAGAGGGGATTGTTCCGGGAGAAACTCTACATAGAAGTTCTTGAGAGGGTGTGTGTGCGCGACGGAAAGGATCGATGCAGCGTTTCATCGAGTTAGCTCTTCTGGTCCTGTGGAGCTTGCGGCTGCTGCTCGTGATCCATTTTCACCCCTGCCTCGCCAACACTATTCAAACCCGATTCCGAATGGGAAAGCACAATAGGAAGTCTCCTTTTCAGAAAGAAATCAAATTCATCATATGTTTCTTGCTGCTGTCCACCTTTATGAAACTGCCTCCATATCCTATTGGTGACGAGCGCTGGATCTGGGTGTCCGAGGAGCGCTCCCAAATGCCATCGACTTTGCCGGTCGATTGGTCGGGAAGGAGGTTTCTGCGCCGGCATCGCTCGCACAACTTCCACCTGCTCCAACAGTCGGAATACGAAGGGAATCGATCGGGGATATCGACGAGTCCCTCGAATAAAATTTAGGTTCTTGCCGCAGTGCTCCCCAACGCCCTTGATATTTTTGGCAATAGTTTATTTATGGCCTGCCTCTCCAAGACATGGATCTTCAAGCATCTTTGTTCTGCCGGGCCTGCAGGAAGGACGCAATGAGTCTCCGAGCCTCGAAATCTAGTCCGAGCTTGGTTGATGTAGGGTGAAAAATCCAACTCACTCAGCGCTGATGTGAGGTTGGCGTACCCGTGAGACGACGTCGACCTCATCGATCGTCCACGACCGCCCTGCTAGAGTCGATTGATCCATCGACTGTTTCCTCGAGCTGCTGAGGAGCCAGACTTCGAGGAGCGGCGTCTCAATGAGGAACCGGCGAGATCTCAAAGTGTTTCCAGTGACTGGTCGCGGGTTGCGCTTGATTTGCGCGATTCACATTTCCCCCAAGCGATCCCTCGGTAATGGGACTTCTAGGTGGCGGTTCGCGCGGAATTATTCCAGTTTTCCAAATCTTTTGGAATCATGCACCGTCGGATATCCATGATGCGTCCGTCTTAGAACTCTTCACTTCGATCCACGTATCGAACTTCATGAATCGAATTCACCAGCCGAAATCATCGGAAATGCTCGAGCATGGGGAAGCGGCCCCGCCGGAAGAGCTGCGTGGTCGTTAAGGGATGAATCGAAGCCGCGGGTCGGAGCTCAGGGCTCAAGATCTTCCAGAAAGGGAACTGCAGCTGCTTGGGGAAGCTGACCGAAAGCCCAGAGGCTTGACCTAATTCAGAAACGTGTATCCATTGACCTGAGTACATCGGGAGTGCCCGGGCACTCGGCAGCCCTGACCTCAATTCTTTGCGCCGCCCGTATGGATCCTACAGCGGTGGTCGAAGCGACAAAATTGAACGAACGGTCGGTTCCGGGTTACATCGATGATTATTATCGGAGAATCTTTATTAACACCAGAGAATGCTTCTCCTTGATCATGTACAAATATACAGTGCGTTTTTCGATTGCAGCTCAATTCTGCGACCGATTCAAGCGGGGTGAAGGGAATAATTCGATTTCTCGTCGAGGTTGCTTCGCGTAGCTCATGATTTCAGAAATACTCGAGGCAAGGAATCGATCGAATAGGTGGCGAGAACGGAAAGATCACTGTCGACGGGGTTTAAAGCTTGCGGCCTTCCGATTGCAGATTTTATCCCATTAAGGCGTATTTTAAAGTTAGCGTTCTCTCAGAGCCGCAGCCGCAGTGCGATGTTGAACTGGCAAATAAAGTTTGAACTCGGCGGGCAGCTCATCCTCCGAGTACAGTCTATCAGCGAAATAGACACGTCGGATCCGGCAGTTCGCGTGAATTTGAACCCGCAGCGTTTGTACGTAATTCGTTCCATAGGCGCGCCTGGTGAAATCCGCCAAATTGAACTGAATTTGGTTCCAGCCCTCGTCCAAACGCATCGGCATCGTACAGATGAAAGGTTTGACGCGCGTCGTGCTCTGGAAGTTGCTCGCCCGGAACCTGTTGAGGAGAAGAGGAGCCCATGGCTAGTATCGCTACGGTCATCGCACGGAGGAGTCGACATCATCCAGCTGACATATGATTACGAAATATTCGGTGATGCTTCTCTTCATCGATCTCGATCGCATCGAACTCGGCTGCTCTATCTCGCTGGCTCACCTTCGCCTGATGTTCTTATCATCCAGTATTTGAACCTCGAACGTGAAGTACTTCTTCAGGTTCTTGATTATCAGTATGATGAAGGGGAGACGGATTCCGAGGGTCTCTCGAGGATCAGCTGGGCACGTTATAAACGCTGTGCTCACATTACTGCCCATCACCTCGAGTACAAGGGACTGAATGTCGTTGTCCGTTATCCGTTTGATGTGACCATTTCGAACTTTTTTATCCCAAATCTGCAGAGGCTTCGATCCGAGGCTGTACAGAATCGAGAGGAAGCCACTTTGGAAGGTATTTTTGAACATACCGCCACGTGCCTCCATTTCGTGTCGTTCACAATCTTGTTATTTAGGGACCGTTTTAGCTCTCGTTGGCAAGGAATGAGGTTCGCACAATCAAACTTCTGAGACAGGAACCCGTGAAGGAGTTCACCTCGTATCCGAGATCGGCTCACAACTATGGTGTGTGAGGGATTTGAGTGCCGTCCGATGCGGCTCCGAATGTTTACATCTGGTTGTCATGGAGATGAGAAAGGGAGAAACATTTGGAATGAGGGCGAGGAATTAATACGCGCACTCTGCGGCGATATCGTACATTGTATCTTTTTCCCTACGCCTCCTGATACTTCCCGGTTGGGAATTACGAACGAGCTCGAGGGATGAGGATGGGGAAACCTGGTGAATTCGGGACCCGGGCGGTTTCTTCCGCGTCGCACCGCGTGCAGTGGCATCCTCCGGCTCGATAAGAGAACCTCTGGAAGCGAGACGGACCGCTAAGAATATGTATTATGTATTTTTTATACATGCTCAGTTGTTTCCTAGTTTCGCTAACAGAGAGTTTCTTTCGCTCCCCTTGTCTGAGCTGAGTCCATCCTCGGAGAGGCCGTCGACTGGGGCGTAGCTGAAAGTAAGCGATGATCGAATCGTCGATTAGGGCCCGCGATAAATGCGATCCAGCTGAAGAGAGAGAATCCGGTACGGGGGAATTTCCGAGGGTCGTGTTCTTCCACTCGGAAGTTCCATCGAACCTGAATAGAGAAACCCTCAGGACTACGAGACGCGAAGGAAAATTCGACTTCTCATTGCTGAAGAATCCGGGAATCTCCTCTGGTTGCTCCTCCAGGGAGAGAACTCCATCTGTCCCCTAATCAAAGGTCTCGGAGCCGCCAGTTAAATTCTGCCTGCATCCGTTCCCCGGATATCAGGAGGGCAGTGCGATAATTCAGGGTTAAGGCGGGGGGGCCTCCGGGAAACGAGAGAAGCTTTCCGGAACCCCGCGAACACCAGGACGGCGGCACCTTTCCGCGACGGACTCAATTGTCGGTAATCAACAATCACTCCGCTTCCCTGAGTTTCATCCCATCTGAGTGAGGAACATCGCCTGATTCGACTCCCTGCAGAAATGCGTATAGCTCCGGCCATGCCCCGAGAGTCGTGCTCAGTTTCCGTTGGGATTACTCTCTCCCTTCGAGAGCAACAAACAGAATTGGCGCCAAAACTTTTGCGGAGCCTCCTCCTTTGGCCGCCGCCGGCAAGCGTACAGACGACATCTGGGTTGGTTGAAAGGCGCGAGCGGGCACCACCAACCAGCGTACCTTTAACAGTGGTGTGGCGCCACAATTTTCAAGAAAGCAAGTGACTCGATCGTTCAGATCCCGAGCGCATAAACACTTCTACTCGGAGTCGAGCAGAAAGCTCCTTTGGTCGAGGTGAACATGAACGAAGATCCGAGCGGGAACCCGCAGGTTATACTCACGCCAAAACGGTAAGCGATGTCCCTTAAGGAAACCGCCGGAGCCCCACTCCTTTCAAATCGCATGTCTATCTCGGATTCCGTCTAGAGTCTGTTGAGACCCAATTAGTGCGTAAGTGCGCTAACACGGAAGTCCTGGCGCGAGTTCACGCCTGGACAAGCTCGATGAAGATCAGTGACGCAAGGCGACGGCTCATCTCGTGCAGGAAGAAGCTTAAAAATGAACTCTCTCGTCGCAACACCCTCGATATTATAACCTATCCGGGAACCGAGCTTTGGGAATAAGGGCTCTTTCTCGAAACTTCTTATCGAAGGTCATCGATGACCGCTTAGATTGCTCGTCGGATGTTTACGCGCCAACTCCATGAGTCTTCATCGATGAGGAGGCCGCTAACGGACGTCGCTGAATCTCGCACTCCTTGCTCCGTGTGTTTATCTCTACACACTCTGAATAAGTAAACCGGTTCCGCCATCGGAATCTGCTGAAACCCCGTCCCAGCGAGGGCTATCGGTCTCACCCTTCCGTAGGATACGACTGTGCTGAGACTACAACACCTGTTACGTATTACAGACCCGTCTTGGCCGCCCTCAATGAAGTCTCTCCAAGCTTCACACCCTCCCCTTCACCCTCCTCGAAATTCTCGCGGGGGAGACCGCGCCTGGATGCGATAACCTCACTCATCCGCGAAGGCTCAACATCACCCTGTCAGATAAAGTGCGATGTATGCAATCGGGTTTTCCCTCGGGGAAAGAGTCTTCAAGCTCATCTTAGAACTCATACCGGCGAGAAACCCTACAAGTGTGACTATCCGGATTGTGCGAAAAAGTTTGCGCAGAGTGGACAGCTGAAGACCCATCAGAGACTTCACACCGGCGAGAAACCGTTCAAATGCTCAGCGGAAAACTGTCGGAACCGTTTTACGCACGCGAATCGGCATTGTAACTCCCATCAGTTCGCGCCTTTGGTGAGAGATGAAAGCGGGATGGAAATTTGTGAAAACACCGAAAACAAGTCTCAAGAAGTTGTGGAATGGCTGGAACGATACAGAGCCCAGAAACGGAGACCGAAAAGAGTTTTGAGGAACGAGTTCGACCAGATGGCGCCCCCGTCTCCGGAGAGCGCGTGCGGAGCTTCGATAGCGCCTCTGGAACTGCCGACTCAGAGAGAAAGTTTCGACGAACCGAAATTCTTCCTCGAGGACGTACCGCTCCGACCTCTGCAGCCGTCGACACCGCGCTCGCCGCACGTTGGATCTCCGAGGGTTTTGTCCCTTGTAAACACAACGCTCCTCATGTCGCCGCAGGCGAACAAGCCCCGGGCCCTCCCCGTCTCGCCTTCATCGTCGTCGGTGCTTTCGCCGTCCTTGCCTCGATCGAACGAGTCGTCTCCATTCTTGACCCCGACGTCTCCCTTGGCCCGCCGTCAGCCGACTACTCCAAAATCCTCGTTTACGCCACCCCCGGCGAAGAGATATCTGAGGGACATCGCAAGAACTCGTCTAGAAGGAGCGATGGCGCTAGTCGAGCTCAGTATCTCCCCCAGATCTCCTCGGCCCCCAGTCTTAATTAATGAGCCGTTAGACCTCACCAAGAGTTGATTTTCATAGCGAGATGACTGCATAAGAGCAATATTATATATACATTCATATTTATCATTTGGTAGGCTGGATAGAGTACTTTTTGACAATCTGTCCTCTCGGAATTTATGTATACCTATAGACCTATTTAGTTCTAAAATCGATTTGTGACCCTCGCCCCCAATAAAATGGATAGCGTTTAAGTCAGCGATGCACCCACTCATTCATGCTCGGATTTGGTTAATACTCCCCGCAGCTCGTATTAGCGTAGTCGTACCCGGTAGAGGCCTTCGGGGCCACCAGAGGTAACGGATACTTTCAGCCGAGAGCTCTGAAATTCTTCCCGGATAAGAATAAAGGGCGTAGGGACCGATAGGGATCCACCACCACGGAGAAGTCACGGATCCAGTATCGACAAATGCAGCATTTTATTCATCAGCAGTAAATACTCATAACTTTATCGACAACATTTTCAAACTCTCTTTGGATACCTGTACTTCATGAATTTTATACTTGACTGCCTATCTTCTCGCGCGACGCTCACAGCGAGAAGTTGTGGACGATCGAACAGCCGATCCATTGTCGCTTCACTTGGTCACAGTTCCACTTTTATTACATATCATCATCATCATCTAACTCTAGGATACCTCTAGGAATCACGAGTTCTCGCTTCGATTCAAATTTTAATCATGTATTTACACGCTTCGTCAACTTCTCGGGTGACATATGCTTGACCTCTCAATTAATTGTGTTTCTAAAGTATCGTCTCTCTGAAATCCTGGTTACCGCATCATTTTACTATCTGGTAGCGGTTTCCTCCATGCTCGACTAATGCTTCCGTTCGAATTCTCAGCTCTGCTGCTGTACAACACCACCACGGATTGCTAAATCCATTAAAAGCTCATAAGCTCCAGCTCGCTCCATATTGTACGAACCTAACTTGTACGCTGTTCAAGGAAATCACTCTCGATAATGTTTTCAATATAGTCGAGCGCGGTTTTGTTTTCGACATGATCTTTGGGAGCTTCCCTCAGACTCCTACTTTGAATTCCGTGCGACAGTCGTCGAGAGAGAGAAGGTTGTTGCACTAAAGGTGGATGACTTTCGCCTGAAAGGAACATTCTCAGAGTGAGCCGTGACTCGAGGCACTCGCAGACAATACACCCGAATGTTCCTGCTCAGGTTGATTCCCAAGAGGTTTCCATGTAATTATCCGCTCGGGCGAGGCGATTGTCCCGCTTACCTGGCGTCGCTTTGGACTTGTTACTTTCAATGAGTGTGTTGAAGAAAGGCTGCAGATCAGCCAAATTCACAATTGATGTCGCGTCCAGTATAGGTCTTCCAGGCACGTATGGGAGTCTTGTGCGGTTCCCGGGAAATCGTTGATTCAACAAGATCGCTAATCTTTTCATGTGCGGTACGAACTCTTCACCTTCGGAGCGAACGAGGAAAATCTCAATCGGAATGCTCGATTCTATAAAGTGATTTTAGACGCCCCAAGCGAGTGAGCGTCGAATATCTGACTTGGGAATCCGGATTCACATCGAGCTCTCCCTGGTACTCACCATCGTTTCCATCTACTGAAGGCGCACCGTCGCCAATAAAAGCCCATCGGTACACTTGGAACTGCGGCAGCATGTCGGCGGGCAAGGCGATGGCTATGTCGAGAAGTTTGCACGCTGAGAGGTATAATGTCAGATTCGCGGGATTCGGGGCCGTGTTCACATTGTAGTCCAGCGATTGGAGATGTGACGACGCAACGGTCTTAGCAACCCGCTGTCCTTCAGCATCGAGAAGCTCTTGCTCCATCATCAGACACGCGTGCACTAATTCAGTGATGATTCCTGGCCACATCGAGGTCACGTTCAAAGGCGACACTCTCAGTAGGATCACGCGGAAACAGAGGAATACTTGGGATTGGATTATCGGCACTTGCGACAGCTTCAGGTTCTCGGCGAGGCGTTCTGTGCAGGAGGAGAGATCGAAAACTGAGTCCTGGACTAGGGATATCGCTCGCGTTCGGCTAAACTACCGATTCAGAACGATATGCATCGACTTCAGGAAATATTCTGACAAAGGGACAGGCGCACCTGAAATTTCGGGCATGTACTTCTGGTACTGATCCGGCTCGGAACAGAAGATAACGTAAGCCAACCGTTTGAGGAGTTGGGCCCTCTGTTCGTATTCCTTCTCATTGCTGACGAAGATACTCAAACTTCCGGACTGAGGTATTGACGTGACCCGAGCTGTGAAATGATAAACCAGAATGAGAGGTACCGACCAAGCGTATCGGGGACGCAGCTGAATGAATGCCGGGCGGTATAGTATGATTTTCGTCCGCGGGACTGCGTTCCTACCCATGAAATCTCTGTAGGTGGTTTTGTCATGCGTCATCAAATGGTCGATGATGCTCCTCCAGTGACTGAGGCACGTGTGGTCCATCTGGAAGAACTGCGGCTCGCACAACAGGTCGAACGCGTCTTTGCGCCACGCTTTCCGGGTGTATTGGTAGCCCGAAAACGAAGCCAGCAGCTGCGAGCAGGCTCGGAACGATGGTACGTTGTTCTTGGAATGGTTACGCAGAAATGGTGACACGTAAACCATGATGGCCGAAAGGAGAGGAACGACTTTCTCCTTGTCTTCAGACACGTACACAATATCGAGCACTGAAGCCATCCACTGAAAACGATCCAACGAAATGAGTTGTGGGCGCTCGAGCCTAGATTCGATCGCTCGAAGGGCAAACGTTGCACACGGTACTGATTTCTCATCCTGTACATGTTATACGTGAATCACTCTCGGGATCCCGGATCAGGATCATCCTTATCGATCATTCTCATTATTCAACTCTATCGGAAACAAATGGCCTCTCACGGCGCGTCCGCCTATGAGAGGAATTATTGCGCTAATACAAATTGCCAGCTACTGAACGTACCTCGGCTAGAACGAAGAGAGCCTGTACGCTGTACGCGCTCAGATTCGCTGTGCTTTCGACCGTGGGAATTTTGACTTTCACCGCGTCCACCGTATCCATATCGTCTTGCTCTGTTATGTCCTGCTGTACGCCGGACTTGACCGCAAGCGTGCGTCGGAGCCACGTAGTTTGCTCGAGAGAGGCCGAAGCGACTGTGGATATTGTTTCGATGAGCTTCTGGGCGATCTCTTGGAGATCTTTCTGATCTTTTCGCTCCTCGATCAGTGGTGCCTTCTGAACGAACTCATGGAGAATCCTGCGGGGAAAGAGAAATGAGCCGATGATAGCAGGACCTCGAGTATCGGCATAGGGATTGGAAATTATTGACATCGACACAATCGCGTCCTCCTTCCTGCTTCCTTCCGCGGCCTCACGGTCTCCCAGAGCACCGTCATCATTGTGGAGCATGAGGAACTTACGCCAGCAGATGGAATTGCACGAGAGGCATACTACTGAGCTGTAATCCTTCTTTCCAGAGTCCCATCAACGAGTGGCAAGCACTCGGTAATGCCTCTGGATTCGGATATTGTTGCAAGTATGCGAGAAGGAATTGGAGGATTGAAACCTCGATGCTGGAACACTTCTTTTTGTCGATCAAACCCGGTGGATCCTTGAGGATCTTCTTCACAAAATGCACTATCCTCGTCAAGTTGAACTGCACCTGGTTCCGACTGACATCCTGCGCCCCCGTGGTCGGGTCTCTTTGCTGCGACAGCTGATAGACTAGGTCCACAAGCAAAAGCTGCTCCGAGGACCAGACCGGCATGACGTGGTGCTTCGGACCCTTCTTGGATTTTTCCGCCCAAGCGCTACCAACAGCGGCCAGGAACGCTTCCCCGTAGTTCTCTGAGATCGCTTGGAGGCACTGGATGACTTGCTGTCTCACCAGTTTCGGAGCACCCAGCACTGCCAACAGGTGGTTGGGCTTCTCCGCTTTCTCAGCTTGGGTCACGGCTTGCCAAACGGTCAGAAGGGCTTTCAGGTACCGAGGTAGATCCGACATCAAGGCTTTGCGTATGCTGGTCATGACGGGATTGGAGACTTCTTTCAGATTTCCGTCCTTGACTTGATTATCTGACGTGAACGCGTGGAACAGACTCGATAGGAATGGTGCGCCCGTCGGGTTGGGATTCGGAGGTCCTTGCTTCATACTTTGACCTTGAAGAGGAACTTCATCGAGCAGACAGTAGTGGAGCAGGGTGCGGAGGTTGCCGATGGTCGTGACGAGATAATCCGGAGGGCAATTCTGCGGAGAGTCGGAGCGCTTCTTAAAACCGAGGACATTCCTATATCGCCAGGAGTTAAGATATCGCATGATTCGTTCGAGCACTCACCAAAGTCGGTTTTTGGCTATTGACCCCACTGATCATCGTGTCGAGATTGACGCAAAGCTCCACGACGATCTGGATGATGAACTTCGCCACTGATTGGGATTTATTTTTCACAGAATACGGAAGTGACGTCATCGTCAAATCCATCCAATGCGTCTGCAGATGTAGCTTCTGATGCTGTTTCAGCGCCACAAGCGCAGTGGTTGTGAACATCTGCTGCGACGGAATTGGAATATCTGCAGGGAACGGAGGATTAGCAACGCAGAGAAGACTTCCCATTTCCCGAGTGATTTCACATCCTCTTCTTTCGGATATTGGGCGCTATTACTTACTGGGAACGTATTTCACTGTGCTCATATGAGGTCGGAACCTGATTTTGCCGAAAGACCCTGCCTTGTTATCGACAGTTTCCGCATTCGCATTTGGCTTCATCACGCTGTCCTCTAATTGTATGAGGGAACCCATCAATTTGAGGAGGTGAACTTGGAATGTGTCCTGTGAAGTACGGCTGTTATTCAGTATCATCGATGATTAATCGATCTCACGACGCGTGCGAGACAACGATAGTTTTCCACCCCCTTCAAGACTCGGATACTCCGCGGTGCAGGTCAGATATAGGCGCAGGATAGGGGCGTCGTACCCAATCGCACAATCATGGCATTATCGAACAGAACGTACCGCGAACTGTGAAGATGCCAAATCGAAAGAAAACTTTCGCTTTATTCACATTTCTTTCGAGTAAGGCGGCAAAGCATAAACGCAATGTCTGACGCCAAATCCAAATACACGCAACGACTTTCATCCGGGATTGATCCGGGCCGTCTTGGCAAAATACTGCGTGAATTTCAAGCCGCGGGCTTCAACTTGCCTGGAACTCCGCAGTCTTCTTGTCGTTGTGATCTATCACTTGGAAGGTGAAGGCGTCGGCGGTTTTTTCGTCCGTCCTTTGCTGATAAACGCATGAGGCCAGGCAATGCAACAAAATTTTCTGCACCTTACACCTGGAACAGGAGATTCGGAATTTCGTTGCTGTCCACCGATGCTCCGGGAATATGTGTCTCCGGATGCCTCATCGAGCGCCGTCTGGAATTTCCGATGGCGCTCGATGCTCCTCAATTCGGAACCTGTCCGAGGATTCCGCCGCTACGGAGGAAGCTCCGCGAACTCACCGGTTTAGTAGATCGAGTACGAGACCTGGCAACTCTTTGCGAGTGTGCAAACGTTCTTCCAACATCGAAAATACGCCTTCGAGTACGTCGCAAGTCAGGAGGCGGACATTACAGTTGCCTAGGACGTCCTTGGCTGTCATTTGGCCTCGAGGGACATGTGGGTAGTAGGAGCGAAGGAACTGGAGGCACAAGTAGACGAGGACGTCCAGGTATTTGAAAGATCGAAAGTAGTTCAGCTGTTCTCCGGCGATTTCACCCTGCAATCGAGATTATGTCATCATGTCGGTAGATAATCTCTGAGAACTCATCAATCGCCGAGGGGGAACTGAAAGGAGGGGTCCAGCCACCGGAAAACCTGCCAGGACTCACCGAGAACGTGTCACCGTCTATTGCTTTCCTGTGTCTCGCCAGGAGCAGATCGACCGCGGGATCCCTCTTCATGAATCCTCCGTGGTAGATGCATGTGTTCGCCATTTGCCAGAGCGCTTCCTTTCGAGAGGAATCAAGAATGTTCTTGATCGATTGCAGGGCGTAAAGGACTTTCTCTGAATCGTAAACTTGCGAATATAGGAGAATGTGCTGATGAAGTGGATGAACCGAGGAGTCCACCGACTGCAACAGAAGGTTCAAAGTGAGTGAAACGGCTTGAATGACGAAATCATACTCTCGATCTGAGCTTATTCACCTTCAGGGAATCGAACACGACCGCGTGATCCGACGTCGGTGTGGCTGCTTCCGAGTTTCCCCCGAAAATTCGTCGCAGGTTCGGGGTTTCACTTCCCAGGCTGATCGTATCGGCGCCCTTGACAGCCTCGTCAAGAAGATCTTCGACTATCGAGTTTACGACTTCGGCTGTGCCCGTCGTCGAGATGTTCCCTGGCAACGAGGCTGTCTCGGTGATCCGCGACGATTCCGATTGCGAGTCGTCCAAACGAGCGGTGGAAACGTTCGACATGCTCTGCACCTCGTCGTAAGAGGCTTTCCGCATCGCGGCGACGTCGATTCGCGAGACGCACGACAGATCGGGCACGACAGAGGTCGACGAGTTCAGCGAGTCGGGCTCCAGGAAATCGTTCACCAAAGACGAACTTGAGCCCATCGGATTTACAAACACCGACACGGATTGCTGATGTTCTAAATTCGCTGGGAACTCAATGTCTTGCAAGGGTGTCATCGCGGTGACGTATTTGTTGGACGCTTTCGTCGACTGATTCCGGGAATCGAGTGAGGTGAAAGCCAGCTGTTTGTCGGGAGAGCCCACGGGTCGCATAGGGGTCTTGTCCCCATTCATGTGGAATCGTATGCTCCCCGCAACGTGGGAAATGGCGTTGATTTTGCGATCGAAGTCGTCGTCTCTCACGGCGTCCTGAGCACGCTGATCAACCGTCAGGCGTTGTTTGCGGATCGAAACGTGAGCGATTCCGACTCGGGACGTGTCCGGGTGCAGCAGTACGATGAGGATCGGCTCGAGGATTCGGCTCAGATCTCCACGAGAGAGCGAGTGCTCCATCCAGAACTGGGATATCGCTCGATGGGGACCTGAATCTTTCGTGAGACAATCCAGCATTTGGAACAGACATCGATCGAACCATCTCATGGTGGCCTGAGGTCGCTGTCGGATGTCGCGCAGCAGATGCCACAGAACAGCGAATTTCTTCTGGGCTTCGATCTGGGTCTCGGCGTTGTCTGAGGATAATCCGTGACACAGCACATTCTCACACATTGCGTCGTTGGGTGCTAAATTGTGGAGCTTCTGTAGGAGTTCCGCTACCCGCAAATGGTATTGAGCGTCGTCTTCTCGAAGCAGTTCCCACAGTCGATTGGTAGCCACTTGTATGAAACGGGTCTCTTCCATGATGAATCTAAGAAGGAAATGTCCATGAGAATCTCGTTGATCGCGCGGAAAATCTGGCAAATGGTGGAATAGCTCCGCCAGAATATATTCTTTACCTCAATTCTAATGGATGAATCATCGGCATGATGACCATGGACTGAACACCTTTGCCGCGGAATTCACTCATCAGTGAGATCACAGTGGTACGGCTCAGGTATATCAGGTCGAGCGTCATCGAAAGGGTCCATAGGAGACAGTCCTTATTCTCGGCGAAGCACGAGAGCATCAACATGTGAGACAACCATTTGGGGAAGCCATCACCTAAAAAACGAATTCGAAACAGACTTAGACCCAAGACTCCTCCGAACGATCATCTTTGACCTCCCCCCCCCCACCCTCGGCATCGGTGAACTCTACTCACAGATTGAGCCTTTGCTGTCGAGAACTTGTTTGGAGTTCGAACACAGGCTAACGGGGAAACTGCTGAGTTCTACGATCAAGGAGCACAGCGTATTGAAGGTCTCTTCTCCCCAATTGCTCTTCAGCAAGAGAACAATTCCAGGAAACTCTGACGATGAGCTCGGAACACCTATTGAGATTTGGTACACCTGAAACGAATAAAAGAAACGCCGTGGGATAAACGTTATCGCTGACTTTTACTCCCCGCCTGTTGAGAGTTCACCACCCGAAGAATTCGCTTCATTGGCGGAGTACGCACCTCATCCTGCTGCAGGCACTTCTCCAGTAGTCGTGACAGGTCCATCTCTCGATCCCGTGAATCCGGTTGACGCTGACATAGAGCTCCATGGAAGAGACTGCGAAAGCCACCAGAAAATCACGAAACGATGAAGCAGTGTCTAATTATTAAAGGGAATTTCGAGACGTCATGGGGGCTTCGAGTGACACGGAAAGACTACGGAGGATCTACGCACAGCCTTCGACAGCAATAAGGTAGAATTCATAGGTATGCAACACTGTGAGACATTTGTCACAACATTCGTATGTATTTCTTCCTTCGCATCGTACGAGCGAAGCTCGCAGGGCCAGTGAAAAAAGAAGAGAATAGCAAGAGCGAACGAAGGGACATCACAAAAACTCTGGCGAACCTAAACTACGCTACCTCAACCTGCGAAAGCACATTATTACCCGATTAGTGGTATACTGCGCGTGCATCATACTGCTTCCGTTCAGAAGCTTACAATACAGGACGACTTGGCGAGGAGAACCGAGGTACGGAGAGGACAAGAAAATTCGGAACACGCTTTCCTTAATCAGGCAGGCACCCGCAAATCTAGTATCTAGCTCATGCATTCGGTGTGAAGGGATTCTATCAGCCGAACGAACTTACTTCGCGGCTTCCTGCGGATTGTTGAGCACTTTAAGCTCGACGAACTTGAGGAAAAGTTGTTGAAACGCCTCGATGCAATTCCCGATCATCGAAGGCAAGGTCGTAGACTTCTCGATCTCTTCCTGCGTCACGCTCTTAGCGGATCTGATGGTCTCGATGGAGCAATTTGAGGCGTTCCGTGAATGGCTGGGTTTGTGACCGCCTGGCACGGCGGTTTGAGGCGTCGGTATGGGTGTTTGCGGCGGTGATTCGAGAGCGTTCCCCTCATCCACGATCAAGTCGGGAGGTTGTACCTGCGAGGCAACGAGATTGAATCCTCTCGACTGATGTCCCACGGTCTGACCTGGGCGATCTTCCGGGTCTGAGAGGGCCGACGTTCAACGGATACGAACCTTCAGAAGGATTTTCGAGCACAGTTTGAGCGATGCCAAGAGCTGAGGCATGGTGAGCTTCTCGCACGCATGTACGAGAGCCTGACTGATTTCATACAACAGGGTGGGCAAATATTCGCAGGGAGCTTCCTTGTAACTGTCCAAGGTGGCGACTTCGAGCAGGAATTCCAACAACTGACACACTTCCAGAAGGACGGGCCGGCCGGAACCGACGGGGGCGACCACACTTTTGATCTCGGGTAGAAGGCATTGATCACACGATGTTTTGAACTCTTTCGCGAGATACCTGAGCGAAAGAGAGAATTTCAATCAAAGTTCGCTCGACAAGTTGCGCTCGACTTCTCTCCTGATAGGGGTCATGCCGTAGGTGTTTTGATGATCAACCCACCCCCAGAGATATTTCTGTTCCAGGTTGCAGAAGAATAGGTTCGCCGCCTTGACAATGTCCTGTTCGGGAGTGTGTTTTGATATTCTCCTGTGTCCTTTCGACTTCCTCGTATCATCGCGACTAAGCTTCCTGGCGGTATGACACTCGAGGTATAACGAACGGAAAACATCGATCAGGATGTCATCCAATATGAAAACGCTGATCTCGTTCCGATCCATGAGGGCCGTCAGGACTCGGTAGGGCGAAATCACCGAGAAAGATGTCGGAAAACCCAACGTCGAAGCTGCCGGAGAGTACTGAAAGGGAGGAGAGCGTCGTCGTCAACTTCCTCAAAGAACGTAAGACGGGATGTCGGGAGATATTGTCGGGGAAATCTTGTCGACGGTCAATCGAAAATATTCGAGAGAGAACACGGAAAGTAATTTCTGCTCACACTAAAGAGGTTCCGAAGCGCTTCGAGAACAATCGGCGCCGAATGCGTTTTGAAATAGTCCATTGTGGCGCTCGCCGCGTCACTCGTATCGGTCTCGGCAGCCTCAGCACCGAAGATCCATTGATACAGTCGGCGATTCAGACCCACGTCGCGACGAAGGAGCACGACGAGCGAGGATGTGCATAGGCGAATGCGGTCTTTCTGCTCCACCACGCACTGGTTCAGAGGAAAACCGGCAAGGATAAAATCCAGAGTATGGCGCTGTACCAGGATCGACGTGTCCTGCAGGGACGAACAGACGGCTTCCACCATGCAATCGCGATCAGTTCCCAAAAACTCCTGCTGTTCTTGCATGGGCCGTCTCTTATCGAATTTCGATGTGACGAAGGTGATCGCAGGCAACCGAATAGCCGGATTGCAGAGAACGCATTTCCAGAGGCATCCATAGAAATAGGTCACGCCGACTCCTGAAATGACGAAAGCAAATGAAATAGCGGCGATGTCCAACATGGAACATGAATAATTAGCCATGAATCATTACCGATTGAATATTCCGTGGTTATCCATCGATTAGTCACGCTAGAAATCAAAACAGATGCCTATTCTCCCACTCCAGAACAGAAAATGTCCACCGAGACCGTACCTCTCGCTACGTCGACTAAAAGCTGTTTCACTCGGTCGAAGGAATCTCCGCCTTCCTCCATACCGGGTAGGACCCCGACCAAGAAGCCGTTGAGCCCCGGTCGAAGTTTCTCGGCCAATGGTATGAAGTGGTCCTCATATACTCTCAGCAGGATTGGTTTCACGTTCATTGCAGCGTGCCCCAGCAGAGGGAATAGGCCGGCCGAATATATGAATAGATCGTGCGCTAATCTCTCTTTTCCGATGCACTTGAATATTATGTCGTAAGTCTCCAGGGCTTTGATGTGCACGCCGAACGGCAACACGGGATGCATACATTGGGCAAGTCGTTTTCCGATGATGATGCGTTTCGGGATCACGGGATACCTCATGTTCGCCTGCAGGAGCTGAAGGGAGAGGGAACGGTCAGAAGAAATCGAAGGGTGCTCTCGAGAACCGACCACATATCGCGCGGAATAATTTGCCGTTCCAGAACCTCACTGACCCGGTTTAGCTTGCTCAGAGAGGAAATCAAGTCCTGCCATTCAGATGTTGTGTCGAAGGACTTCAGAGCTTTGTCTATTTGGCTTATGTAATTCTTGTACTTTGTATCTAGCAACAGCTCGGCTTCTTCTGCCTGCATGGCTGACAATGAGCCGGGGGCTGCTGCCCCGCCCCCTAATGCACTCATCTTGCCGCCGGGCCGTTCGCCAGTTCCTCCAGGGCTCCCGCCAGATCCTGTCGGAAACCTAGAAGGAAAGAGGAAATTATTTTAAACCTTTTTCGTGGTCGATCGAAAGCGTTGGAGCTCACCCCAGCAAGGGAACGGGTTGGTGGGTACCTGCGCCGAAATGCGTTCCGGCGACACGGTCTGGTTTCATTCACGAGATTCGATTCGGTGGCTCGAGAAACTTCGACGACACACACAGCCGAGAAACTATTTTTAGATCACTCCCCGGACGTTCCAACCGCAAGACGGGTCGCCGATCCTACCGCTGCATTGTCGCTGAGGGTGAGGATCGCCGTAGGTCCACGGAAAATACACGCACTTCTCATCCTCGTCCTTCGAGATCGATATGGCCTCGCATCACCCCCACGGAATATGTTGGCCACGGAGCATAATGACGATATGTTCGGAGCATCGTCTGATGCTCTTTTTGAAAGGGCGCAGCTAGTTTTCTCGCCAAGTCCGGTCGAACACAGCAGATTGAGTCAAGGAAAGTCTTTCCCTCCGCGTGGATCTGTTTGAGGAGTTCGAGCGAGAAGCTGATAAACTTGGCCCTCCAAAGATCACAGCTTGTGTGAACGACGCTCCACCCAGATATTTAGGCCAGCTTTGGGCCTTTCAGTATAACTACTCGACGGCGAAACAAGCGTCAAGGGGCGTATGGCACGGGCACGCAGATTCGACTGTCCAGAAACGTGGAAGTTCATTCGGACTCGCCAATGAGGCTGTTTAGAATAAAAATCGGAAAAGTTCTCGACTCGCAACCAGGAATCTCCGCAGAATCCGAAGGGCCGCCGTCTCGAAGAGGATCCTCGAAAGCCGCTCTCACGGATGAGTATTCGTCGACCTCCAGAGAGAGCTCGGATCTCTGAAAACGCAGTGGATCCTCGGAGCAGTGAGTTTCCGACGTGAATTCTCGCTTTCCCTCGGCAATTCCCATGGTTCCTCGACGCCGCCGTCCATTTCGATTGGAATTTCGGTCTTCAGTTCGAATTTGAAACTATTCCCCGCTCATTTGTCCGAGGTCGAAGGACACTCGCGTCGGACCTATAGTCCGACGAGTACAGTCGGCTTTGACGCGTTCTAAGCGTTTCGCGACGCCTGGCTAATTCAGGTAGAATGTCGTTTTTGTCCGACGCGATCCACGAATGAAATTCCAGCGACGGACGAGAAACCAATTCGTCCGACGACGTTCTACAGTTCACGCCTCGCTGGATCTGTCACATGACGACCGACGTTCAATCGGAAAGGCCCGAGACGACAAGGAACTCCGCGGGAACTAACTTGTCTTTGTTTGCGCTTTTCCATGGCGAGATCTTGTCAACGAGGCTTGGCTTCCACGACTGAGGCGTCGATTGCGGTTGCGGCGACGGTGGCGGCGTCTGCAGTAGAGGCAGCCGTTGTTGCTGTTCTTCCATTAGGTCCATCCATCCGTCAGCCACTGATCACGGCTATTCTAGCCCGCAAGAAGCCCGAGAAGAGCGAGTCCTTCCGAATGACTGACAGAGAACGACGGACAAACGGACGGCGAACGGCTGATGACTGTTCGCCGACAACTTAGCTGGTCGGCTGAACGGCGGAGCAATGGCAACAGGTTCGAGAACACGAAGGACACGGCCAGAGGAACGAGTGTAGAGTTGCATTCACTCGGCTGGATTGCCCTAAGCCACTGGAAAGACTATGGCCGCTCTCGTGGACTTAATTCCGCTGTTCGTCGACCGCAAGCGTTCTCGGAGGGCCAGCCCAGCACGAACTGGAATGGAGACGTTAACCAGAGACCTCCAGGGGAGATCCCGCACAGGCTACACCCGTCTCTGTTGCGGACGGCTTCCGTAAGCTAAACGGTTTCGCCATGCGACTTTTGCACAATTGCGGTAATTCGAAGACAGAACTTCCACGAGCAGGCGAGCGACACGCTAATTGTGCTCTTTGCCGAGGAGGGTCGTCTCCCAATGCCTTCGGATCTGAGGCCCGGTCTGTGCTCGGGAGTTGGCCCGATGAGGACTGAGTCAGAAATGATTGAAAACAAATGGAGCAATTTCTCAGGCTGGGAATCCTGTCCTTTTCCCGGATGGATCGGAGCCCCCCCGCGGGAGATTCACGGATTTCCGAACCAACGACTCTAGCGTCGCCGTGACGTATTTGCACCCGCCAACGAGAGCAGGTGGCGGAGGCAAGAGCTTCCCGCGCGGGGGATTCGCTGCCGCCTGCCCCTTCCTCCTACGAGAGCCTGCCGAACGAGAGTACGGAAGCCAAGGTGAGGGTGACGCCGCGCCGAGTCCTGTCAGAGAAAATCTCTGATCTGTCCTCGCCCCGCTAATCGAGGAGGCGCTTTATTCTTCATACCTGACTCCCAGGCAGCTTATCCCTCATTCATCGGCCTACCGCGGGACGCTGACCCCGAAACTCTCCGCTCGGAACGATGCGACGCAAAGGTGGCTGACGACAATCTGCGAGTTTGGTATGAACGAACAGCTGAGCCCTTCCGGCTGTCCGTCAGCGGCGGCGCTCATGAGGCAGCGTCAACAAAATTATCATTCGTGATGCTCTCTCGAGACTTGAGTGAGGCGGAACAACACGCGGATCGGCTCGGGACAACGAGGGAGAACATGTCGAGGCCCTAGGACCGTAATCCAGACGGAAACAAGTCGACCCGACTCCATGGTCCGACGACCGACGAATAATCAGAGAATGAAGCGTCCGAAACGCGCCATAGAGTCCGCGCATAACAATTAGTAATCTGCACGATAGGTCTCTTGGTTCGCGGGCGACGAGACAGATCCATGACTCCGATAGAGACGGTGCGAACTGATCACCCGACTTTTTCCAGAGAAGATATTCATCGTTCACAGATTCTTGCCTGAGGTTCGAGACTCGGTTAGACAGAGATAGCGCGAAGAGGCTTCGTACTTCGCTTTATCTCGATTTCGTTGATTGTCTGAAGGTCGGCCATACCTCGATTTCCGATCCTCGGGGAGGGCGAGATTCCGACGGCGGCGAGATCCCCCATACGAGGAGCTCTTATGGCATACCGGACGACACGAGGCTGCGACCGAATGTGCGGAATCATCAACAAATCATTCCGCGGAATTCAATATCCTCAGTTTCGGTCCGCCGCTCGGTGCGCAGGAAAACTGTGAAAGTTGGAGAAGGTCATACCGGCGGCCTGGAGCAAAAAGACATCTCCGACTGCCGGTTCAGTCGAAACTCCATCGACGAAAGTATCGATCTGACATCGATCTCAAGGAGAGAACCCCGCTCTTCCGAATCCAGCCCAGAATCGACAAGCTTTCCGGCTTGCGGTAGATAGGTAGTACCTTGATCGTTCGCGAATTTGCATCAGTTCACGGAACCACCCCGAGGCCGGCCGAAGGGCTACATTTCGGCTAACCGCAGACTTCTGCAAGGCTCAACTGCACCATATCCTGCCCAGATGACTGGCTACTGTCCAGTGTGTCAGTCGACCGACTGTGCACCGAAGAACACTTGGAGCGGAATTCCGTCAACCGTTCACAGGAGTGTCATCGAACGACCCGGACCAGCCGAAGCCCTCCCGACAAGTCCCCCGACATCGATGGAAACGATCGCCATGGGGAAATTATCGTCCGGCGACACGCGACTGGAAATTCTACAAAAGCTCACGGGTCGCGTTCCGACTGGCAGATAATCATGGAGCTAGAGTGAAATGTCACCAGAAGGAGCCCGAACATATCATTGCTGTGCCCGGTGCTAGAGAGCCATGCTGTGCTTGTCATTGAAGTTTCTTACAGGATTTACACTTGCTCGCTAGATCGAACGGATCGAGTTCGGAAATCTACGTTACGTTTAAACTGTAGGTCTATCGAGGCGTAGAACGAGTGCAGGCATCGCTCGGAACAACACAGATAGCGGCACCACGGCAACATCCACCGTGACTCCCACCTGAGAGTCGGCAGTGGAAGGAGAAGATGTAAATGTCACACCGAAGCATTGAACTACGGCACAACTAACCACTAGATGGAGTTTAGACGACACATCAGTCGCTCTAGGCCGACGGGTTCGGGGCCTGCGTTCGCGCCTGACGTCCTCACGTCTCACGGGCACGTCACAAAAGCAGCAGAGTACTGCTGCTGCTGCCGCTGCTCAAATCAGTAAAGAAAACAATCTCAACAACAACTGAGTAGCAGCAGCAATTCCGATGATGATGATGATGACAACATACAGACAGACACCACCGACCGACGACGACTGACGGACTGACCCACCAGCCAGCAGCAGCAGCCGCCAACAACAGCAACCAGCCACCAGCCAGTCATTCGACGACCACCGCACAGAAAGCTGAGCGGGCAGGCAACCACCACAGGTCTAACGACGACGTCGACACCACTGAGCAACCACACACAGCTGCTCGCCGTTCGTTCCCGTTCTGGGCCTTCAGCTGGTTGATTCGAAGTTCTGCCAAGAGTGACCGATTCGGTGCCACATGGAAAGCGCGCCAAAATTTGAAATTTGTCCCGGTACGTCCAACTCCGTAGAAGAGCAGCGGAAGATTTCGGCGGTGGTCGAGGAAATGACTCACGGCTATCTTTCTCCCTTTCGGGGATGCGATCTCTACTCAACAGTGACGAGACTGCCTACCCCGACTTGTTTCGATACAAATATCATCGCGACGAGTGCGGACGCAATTCCGAGTTTCGATCCGTGGGCCCCTGCGTGATTCTGTGACGCAGTGATGGCATCAGGGATATGAGTTGCTCCAAGGAAAACGAAACACGTTGGGACGGTCGCGAAATTTCATGGAATTGAAAGTCGAACGCAGTTGGCAACGCGAAAACGGAAACCGAGCGAACGGCATTTTAACGAAGTGCGTCTCATGACTCACGCTGACGTCGAAGCCAGTTCATCGACGTGTCGGAAAGAATCACGGAAATCGGCTGCCTCGGGAGAACAGTCTTTTCTCGGGACTTCGCGACACTGCAGGTCGCATCCAAGCAAACCTCAGATGCTCAGAAGCTCGATGGGAGATTTTCTCCTGTCCCGCTC